AAATGTGGTCCACTAGTAACATATGGTCTTTTCTTTTTCTTATCATTCCTGATATGTGAAGATTTTGTAGACTCTGTTGAGATAAAATTAATTGTTTTTCAACTGTTATTCATATCTTCTACATACCATGCAACTGAATAATAGGATCCTCTGGCACAGTTACCCTTAAATTTGCACAGTGGAGTGTACTGCATATATCAAAAAAGCTATTTGTACATAGCTCAGCTCTTAGAATACGCCTCTCTGTCCAATTTTGGGCTATGCATCAAATTAATGTTATATTATGACAAATGTTATTAGGCCACTGTACTATAAGGCAACTTGATAGCACTCCAACCTTTGTATTTATCTCAGAGAGTCAGAATGTGTGAATCATAGATATTGTCAACATTTTCCAACACTATAGCTTGGGCTAATTCATTATAACATAACTCAATGAGGTTGCCTGTTGTCTCTCAGAAAGAAAGCAAAGCAGAAAATTAATCAGAAACATAATGGCTCTTTGTCTAAAAGCAATTCATTAGAAAGCAACTTCAAAGCCATTCATTGTTTGACGTTAATCAATTGTATCTCATTAGCAACATAACAATCCTAGTCAGCTTTTAAATGGGTTGTGTTCCTATTTTCACATCATTAAATTAAATGTAACAATGCCAATGCTACCTATGATTTTGTTTCCAAACAAATGTGGGATATCAGTTGAAAAGGGTATACGTTGAAATAACGGAGGATGTCATCAAAATTTGCAGCAATAGTGCCATATTCATACATGCCAACCAGGTATAGAAAACTGAAAAGAAAGCACATAAATAGATGCTACAATTTCAGTTCTCAATAATGAATCTTTGACTCACCTGCTTACTGCTTTTGTGCAACTGGATGCAGATAAAAGGCTGTTAATAATTCCATTGCCTGAAATTGAGGATATGCAGAAGAAAACTTCCACATGAATAAAAAACAACAACACAGAACACAGCAGCTTTCTAGAATCACCAATTAACACAGCCTCTCAAAGGCATTTAGAAGGCACCAATAAGGGTACTTATGTATTAACTGCGTTTTACATTCATACTGAAAGACAACTTCTGAAGTCCTGTTATCAAGCAGATTGGAACTGAAACATTTTTTTTAAAAAAAATAACTATTATCAAATATAAGAATGTTACTCAGGTCACTCTTTTCATTTACCTGCTTATTCTTTTTAATTATTAAGACATCAGCTGGTTTTATCTCTATGTCCAATATAACATCTTTTTCTTGTAGCCTGTCATTTTATCCACTTTCAGATCAGTCTATCTTGTCCAACAGAACTTGTTCCTTTTCCATAACTTATTTTAGGTATAGTTTATCTACAGAGGAAGGCACTCTTAAAATTATCTTATTTTTTATCCTGCCCTTATTAATTTTCTAAATATCTCATGGTGGTGAATAAACTTCTCCCTTCTGTTTTCCACACAACAACACTGTGAGGCGAGTTGAGCTGAGAGACAGTGACTGGCCCAAACTCACCCAGTCAGCTTTCATGTTTAAGCTGGACCTAGAAATCATATATGCCTGATTTCTAGGCCAGCAGTTTATCCACTATACCAAACTGGCTCTATGTTTTTGGGTCCATTGTTCCAAAATATCTTTCAATATGTCTAAAGATAAAATATCTTTCTTCATTCTGTATTAGTAAGTCAAATTTAGGTGTTCTTCTTTAACTGTAATCTTTAATTCCTTGTGATTCATTCTAGTGTCCAACCTTCAAAGTCTCATCCTGTTTTTCTTTAAATAATTCAAAACAAAAGCATTTTCCATGGGAAAGGTTCTTATAATTAATTCCAAAACCTTAGTTCAAATCCAATTGGACACTTAGTCCATTTGTAACTTTCCAAAATCAAAGCTCTAACCACTCTTTTGCTCTTTATTCCAAAATAATTTTTTAAGTTCTTAAACTTGTATTTAAATTTTTTACTCCCAGTGCTGTAAAACCTGTCAATCTAAATCAGACATGTCAAACTCGTAATGTCATGTGACGTCGCACAACATATCAGGACGGTTTTGCCACTGCCGACAATGGGGTGGGCACGGCTTCCGCGTGATAAATCCGGCCCGCGTGCTGGCAGTTTGACACCTCTGATCTAAATAGCTTCTAATAGCTGAAAAGCAGTTAACAATTTACAAAAGTGATTAGAAAAGGAAATACAGACTGTTCTTGACTTATCGCCAGTTACTTAGTGACCAAAATCAAAGTTACGACACCCCTTCCCCGCAAAACTTATTTATAACCCAATTTCAAAATACCGATGTTGCCCTCTCACTATGATCACATGGCCACATTTTAGGGTCTCAGCAACTAGCCCACATTTACAACTGCTTGGAATGCCCCATGGTCGGCAAAGGACTTTGGATATAATGTAATTCTTGAACAATGGGAGAATATGTGGACAAAAGGTCTAAAGTTCACATTAAATTATAATTTAAAAGAAATCTTTTATAAGATGATATACCATTATAAATGCATTTCAAATGAAAATGCATTTGGAAATGTAAATGTAAAGAAGAAACTTTTTATCACTTATAGTGGGCATGTGACAAAACAAAGGAATACTGGAGTAGGATTTATATCTTAATAAAGAAATGCTTAAAGTAATTATAAAGATAAAACCAAAGAATTTTCTTCTAGGTTTAGTAGATAAAAAACTTGGTGAAAAAAATGGAATTTTGATGTTATATATGTTGAGAGCAGAAAGATTATGCACAAAAAGGGAAAGATACTTTGATTCCCACAATGAACAAATGGCTGTAAAAGTTGATGGAGTTCGCAGAGGTGGCTAAATTGACTGCTTTGACTAGAGAAAAGAACACAATTAATTTTGTTTCTACTTGGAAATGATTTTTGGACGTTGTACTTGAGGTGGAAAAAATGAAACTTTCATTTTGGGTTTTGCTGATTACATAGGCTTTTGTTATAGAAATAGCTAGTATATATTATCATGTACAGTTAAAAAGTTGAGGTTTTATGTTACTACCTAATTCTACTGCACCTAAAGGAGTCAGAGTTCAACGTTTTTCTTTTTCTCCTTTATCCTACACTTTTCTCTCTTCCCCTTCTCCTCCCTTATTTTCCCATTATCTTCATTTTTCTTTGTATTTCTGTATTTATATTTTGATAAACTAATAAAATATTTGAATCCCGCAATGCTCAATGGTTCACATAACTGTGATTTATGAGTTTTGCCCGAAACCCGTGTTTATTTCTAGTTTACGGAAAAATAGCCCCATAGGGAACAATGGGTTTGCTTAACGACCATTGTATTCACTCAATGTCCTCCATAAAAAAGTCATCAAATCAAGTTCGGTCACATGGTGACCCGCACATAGGACATAGGACCATAATTAACAGGGTCAATTATGGTTTTAACTCAAGGACTAACTGTATGCAAACCCAGTGTCCTTTGGAATGTGTTGACGACAGGTTGAGCAAAAAGATGATTTGTTCTCCACGCTTGTTTTAATATAATTTCTGAATGTTTCATTACAAAACTAGGTAACATCAGCAGCAGGATTTTTTTTTTGTCCTATTCTCCTTAGCTCATAAATGTCTTGTGTGCCAGTGTGATCAGTTGGTGGTGCAATAATATTAAAATAAGCTTGGAGAACAAACCACAGCCAAAATCTAAAACCCGAGCTACAAATATTTGAAAAAGATGATTATTCCTTCATTCCTCAGATTGCTTTCTTGCCAGATTGCTTTCTTGCAGTATCCTTGCAAGGAGCAATTCTGTGGAGTACTTATGGGCAAGCTCAATCCCTCTCTTTATCCAGAAAGAAATTATGAAGAGCCGATCTACTCGCCAGCTCTTCATTCCTCCAGGGTCATCGGCTCCACTTTTATCTGTCTTCAATTCTTCCATTTCTTTCCTAAGGAATTTGCAAAACTGGGGTCCAAGCATACTTGCACAGTACTGTCTGGCTACAATATCTCAAAAAGGATAGAAAACAGAAAACAAAAACCAGAGTGATCAAGGAATGGAATCCCCCTTGAAAAAAGACAGAGTAAAATATTTTGAGGTTTCCAGTTTCTGGAACATTTTTAAATGACCCATGGGAGAAGTTTAGAAAATTGCACTGACTTTGGGAACGATAGATGGAGGAATCTTTTCTCTTTCTTAGAATTTTAGATTTTCTGTATTGTCTAGGAAACTAATTGAAAGAAATCTAGACAAAAAAAAGGTTCTTTTTCTTGTAACATGAATTTCTCTCTGAGTGCCAGATGCTGCTGAATAACAGAAAGAAAAGGCTATTTGCCTTCATGTGCTGCCTGCAGATTTTCCAAAGGCATCTGATTGGCCAGTGTGCTTCATTCACACAACAGGCTTACCCACAGTTAACAATGCTTTATTCAATTCAATTGTCGGAGTGTGCTTGTTAGTGTGAATTAACAAATGTGTTGGGTACTTACAACGCAGAAGGTGTGTTTGACCAGTTTTGGATTGGTATATAACAAAAACCTAGCTTAAGGGAAATAAGATGCTGGGCAAGATATTCTCTTTGATCTTATCCAGAAGAGCCTTTTCTTCTGTTTAAAGGTCTGGTAATATGCTTCTGTCTCTGAAATCCCCTTTTATGATTACTTCACACTGGTTTAAAATTTCTTTTCTTAGTGCTGAAAGTAGAAACTGAAAGCTTTCCAAAATGTCTTTGTTAAAGATCTGCAGAAACCTAACAGCCAAGCACTCTCCCCCAACCAGGGCAGGGGGGGGGCTATTCTGTATATTTTTCAAGGATAAAAAAGTAACATTACAAAGGATGGTGTAGATGCCAATAAGCAACTGCCAACCTTCAATACAGTTGCCTTAGGAAATATTTTCATTCTACATGAAAGCTGACATTCAGCTTTTTGTCTCCAAAATCGGATTTCCCAAACCATCCAGGGGGAGGGGGGGGTTGTTCAAACAGCAGAGAGATTTTCGTTTATTTGAAAAGTAGAAATGCTTTTCAAAAATAAAACACAAAAATGCCTACTGGAAGAGAATGATGTGTCTTAAGTGACTGAGAACTTGAGGGGAAAAGAGAGAAAAAGAGACGAATTTGGCTTTCTTTAAGTTAGGAAAAACGGCGACTCCAAGTATTTGTCAAGGTTATGCCTACTCATATAAACATATTTATTTAATTCAAGTTAAGTTCAAATGCTGCTCCAAGTACTGTATGCCTGACTATGCGCGCAGCAAGGAGGTTAAGAATTAAAAACACAGCAATAAACACAACAGCATTCTGCACATGCCTAAAGTTATTCTCACCCCATTTTTCACATTTCCCAAAGCAGAACCTGGACCTGAAAATAGCCTTCGAGTGAAAGACTCGAAAGGAAGCCCGGATCCTTCCAAGCTCAGATAACCCCAGCGGCCGCAACCTCCTCCCTCTGAGTTTGCAGCCATTTCGTTTCCACAATAATGAGCAGGAGCAGCTGCTAGAGAAAATGTAACTCATGGGGCGCAAGGCACAGGCACAAAAGGGGGCCGTGCGGCTGCAACGCATACCTGCCACAAATGCAAATATTCTCAGCTTAAAAGCTGGGGGCACTGAAGCGGCAAATGTTTCAGCGGCCGCCTCGCTCTCCCCCGGGACCGCTCCTCATCCACAGCTTTGCGAGGACTCGAACCCGGCTCAGGACCGCCCAACTTAACAACCTTGAGGGCAGCGGCAGCCGGAGTTGCTAGGGGGCGCCTGCGCGCTGGGGGTCGCCCTTTTTCCACCCTGTCTCTGCCGGCGCCGTTGACCCCCGAAGCTGACGCCGCCCGCAGTTCGCCTGCTCCCTATTTTTAGGAAAAGCTTCGGCGTCTCCGCCTGAGCGGCGGTGGGGAAACTAGAGCGCCTCCCCGGTATTCGGCTGGCAAACTTCGCGCAAAGGACAGCTGGCGAAGGTAAGGGGAGCGGCAAAAGAGGGCGCTTCTTTTTCTGGGCCGTGGTGCAGAATTAACTTCAGTAGGGACGCGCGCTGTGGCTGCCGAGTTGTCCCTTTTCTCTCTCTCTCTCTCTCTGGGGACCCTGCTCAGCTTCGGGCTTCCCAGGGCTCGCAAGGCGCGAGACTCTGCAGAAGCCCCCTCCTTCCAAACTTTGCAGGGAGAGAAGCCCGGACGGCTCGATGCGATGTCTTTCACGGCGAGGACAAAAAGGAGAACAAAAATCCGGGGTGCCCGGCTTGGTCCGGGGCGGGGGTCGATGGGCTCTGGAGCCTTCCCGGTTACGACGTGCCCCGCATCTTTTCTGTTCCGCCGCTTCGTTTTTTTCTTCGCGCCAGTTGGAGGAAACCGCTCGGCATAGCTTGTGCACCAAATTACCCCGGTCTTCTGCCACAGCGCAGGAATGAAAGTGGGGCAGTAGGAAATTGCTCGCGGTTTTTTTCCGTCTGTTGAACGAGATAAACGAGGCTGGTAGCGCAAGGAAAGAAAGGGAACTGTGGCATGAAAGAGAAAAAGCAAATGAATCTTAGTGGCTATTTTTTTTAATCCACGTGGTAGCTAATAAACATAATTTTAATATGTTAGTTTATTAAATGATGCGTTTATATATACATAGGTTAGCTGGCCTTGACTAATCTTGAAAAATCAATGAGAGGTGGGTGGGATGTATGTATGTGTGTGTGTTCTATCTATCTTACACATACATTGTGTGTGTGTGTGTGTGTGTGTGTGTTGTATTTTGTTTGTTTTGTATTTGGATGGGAGACCATCAAGAATTTCCAGAACCTATTGGCTTACTAGGAAACTGTAACAGCATCCCAGAAAAAGGCAATGCCAAGCTTCTTAGGTATTGTTCTCAAGAAAACCAGTCACCAGTGGAGGAGCTTCACCTGAAGACATCATTACCTTATAGAAGAAAAGTAATTCAAATTCATGTTAAACGTATTAATAATATTTGAGTTAATACAGAATCATTTCCTTTTTTTCTTTTCAAATGAAAAGTTTGAAATATTGCATCCAACTTGGACTTTGTATCGTCTCTTTCTATGTGCTTTAAAGTTTCTATTTAGTAATCTTTTGATCTAAAATCTGTATTTTACTACTTTATTTACTTTTCTCTTTACAAATTTCAGAGGTATCAGTGTGAAAAACCCCAGTTTAAAGAAAGAATGAAGCAAAAGAAGATTATGAATGTGAGAATGTGAATTTAAGTACAAAAGAAAAGCTACACTGCATCAGACCAGAGCCCAGTCAGGTCCCTCATATCTTTCCTACAATAGCTGACCAGGTGTCCTGGAATGACACAAGCAGGACAGTTCTCATGTATAGCTTGGGCACCTCATATCTGGACCACAGCAATATGCTTTACATAGACCAGTCTTTGAAGACACCTTGGAAGTGTCACCTGATCCAGAATATAGTACCATAAGCAATTACTCCTACCATGGGTGTACCATGGTATGCCAACGTAGCACCTCTGCTGTATAGGGTACATCAGTAGCATGGGCCTCATTCTTCAGAGGGTGATCTTTCTCCTGATATTTATGCCTATGCTGCAATATGAGTATGCAATGGGTATTTTATAAGTCCCTTATAAAATACCCAGGTTATGTGCCTTCTCGTGTTCTGGTGTCTGACCTCTGGAACAGCGTTCCTCCAAAAATTCTAATGTCTCTATTTTAACCATGCCTTCCTCCAGGTTAAGATATGAAGGATTTTGCATGTTTTTTTGTAGGATATTGTTTCATCAAAATAATCTCCCTTTTCTGTTGTGTTTGGTGCTGTAGGTAGGTAGGTAGGTAAGTAGGTAGGTAGGTAGGTAGATAGATAGATAGATAGATAGATAGATAGATAGATAGATAGATAGATAGATAGATGATAGATAGATAGATAGATAGATAGATAGATAGATAGATAGATAGATAGATAGATAGATATCCACTCCAGGAGGGTTCCTCGTTTGACCCATGACATGACAGGGCTGTGACATGGTGATGTAACACTCTGGTTTATTTCTTTATGTATATTTTTATTTATTTATATTTCACATTTCTGAACTACCCATCTCCCTCAAAGAGGCATTCTTAATGGCGCTACAGTAGTAAGTCCAGTTGTAATTCTTATTCTAAAGCAGAGGTAGCAACCTCTTCATAGTCAAGGGCTATATACTTAACAAAATAACATGCATTTTGGGAAGTTATGGTCCTTAGTGTGAGTTGGGCCATATGACATATATGGGTTAAGTTGGGAGTGTGGGGGGAAAATTGAGGTTCATCTTTGTTTTTAAATCTGATCTGCCTATTTTAGGGCTTTTATTTATATTTATTGTCTACCTCAAAATGGCAGGACAACATGGCCTTGCTGTTCAGTAATTATGCTCCGAGAGAGTTCTGAGTGCTATGAAAGAGGGACTTGAGGGTTACAGATTGCCTGTCTGTTTTTCTAAGGGATGATTGGGCACATTTTTGCTATGTATATTTTATAATATTCTATTGGGTAACTGAAACAAGGTTAATAGATTTTCTTTTTATATTCTCCCTTTAAAATTATTTCATTTTGTGTGGGTTTTTTAATTAAATATCTTATTTTTTAATTTGGTACAGCGTTTCTACCTGTTTCCGTGTCATTGATTACTAAAAGAAAAACAAAACAGTTCTTAACATGTCCAAGAGAAAGGTTTTATTCATAATGAGGTTCACAGTGAGGATCTTTTGTCAAGGAATAATACGAATCAAAGTAAAAAGAAATGCGAAGTGTTTTTAAAAACCTATACTGATTTTTTCCATTTTGCCAATTGTACTGATATGCACAATCGGATGGGACTAAACCTCTTTATTGTATAGGAGTTTATACTGCACTGGGATGCTAACACTTTCTCAAATCCTACTTTTAACTATTGCTTTTGAGAAACCAATAATAGAATTTGAACCTGTCACCTGAGAAATGTGAATTTGACATTTTCCACGTTCTTTGAATTTCTGTTTCTATGAACTCTGGTGATAACACCTCTGAAGTGCTAAAACCTCTCAGCATTTGGATAACAATATTGGTGTCATGGTTCCGACTAATGAAACACTAATATTGAATATTCTTGCTTTGACAATTGGCATGAGTGGCTGTGAGAAAATAAGCCTCATGGGATACCAATGACATGCATTAGCTAGAACAGTGGTTCTCAACCTGTGGGTCGGGACCCCTTTTGGGGTCGAACGACCATTTCACGGGGGTCGCCAAACAAGGCTGTCCGCCATTTTTTCCCCCTTTTCTTTGGCCACGCTCCTGGCACCCGGTGATGTATAAGTGGTTGGGGGTCACCACAACATGGGGAACTGTATTATGGGGTCGCGGCATTAGAAAGGTTGAGAACCACTGAGCTAGAAGTTCGTTTTTTAAAAAAAAATGCAAAAAATAAGAGATACCCAGAACTGCTCTCTTTCTGAGGTATTTAAAATGGTAATTGTTCCAAAAGCAAATTGGAAGTTTTCTTCCCTACTGTGCCTTATGTCATTTTGCATACACTTTTTTTACTGTCAGAACTGAGATACAATGATAAGCTAGTGGGTTGTTGCATTTTTCATGGCATAAGGATAAAACCTGACAGTCAGCAATTATTTCTAGGAAATACAGTCCAAAAGAACTAGATAAACATTTCATGTGGGGCGGGGGAATTGTATCTATGTTAGAGCTCTATAATACTCAGTTATTATTTTGACTTGAAAGTTATCTTAGAGAGATTTATCCCAGCTGATTTTATTTAATTTCACTTATATAACAGAAGTTTTAAAAGCTAGTTTATTTTATTACTGTACTAACCTTTTCAGTATGACGTATTTTATTATTTTATATTTTATTATCCCATAACAATGTTCTGTTATACATAAGAATGCAAGAATGATTAGCACTCAGTGAAAATCAAGCCGAGTTCCTCTACTCTGCCATCAGTCTGGTTGAGGACCTGATTGTCAAGAGTTTCCACAAATGCATAATTCTCTCCTTGGCTAGATAAATAATAATAATAATAATAATAATAATAATAATAATAATAATAATAATAATAATAATAATAGTTGGAAGGGACCTTGGAGGTCATCTAGTCCAATCCCCTGCTCAGGCCGGAAACACTATACCATTTCAGACAAATGGCTGTCCAATCTCTTCTTTAAAACTTCCAGTGTTGGAGCATTCACCGCTTCTGGAGGCAGTTTGTTCCACTGGTTAATTGTTCTAACTGTCAGGAAGTTTCTCCTTAGTTCTAGGTTGCTTCTCTCCTTGCTTAGTTTCCATCCATTGCTTCTTCTCCTGCCTTCAGGTGCAGGACAAGAAAGAAAGATGGAAAACTGGCTTATTTTTATTTACATTATGTAAATAACATTATAAGATTATAACATTACATTATCTAAATAACTCGGAAGAATCTATCAGCAGGATTACTTTCCCAAAACCTGGGAGAACAAGACCAAATTTGGTACAGGAGAAGCCAATAAATGAAAAATGAGTTTTAAAATTTTAAAAAAGAAAACCCAATTTATCCCAGCTGGAGACAGAGTGGGCAATGAATGGCTTAGATAGATTATTGCTCCCCACTCCATTCTAACCAGTCTTCCTTCTGGTCACATGACTCAGAGTGGCGCTCCTATTGTGGAGCTGCAGACTATTCCAGAAGCCATACTCTGCATACTCTCCCTACCTAAATTATTCTACAATGTTTACTAATAGAATGGTTACTGATTGATCAAATGTCTTAGGAGGCACTTTGCCAAATTATCTCACAACAGCTTTTAGCTGCATATCCTGCAGATTTTTCTAATTCTGTTCTTGTCATTGCAAGTTAGCAGCTGATCACTTCTTTGTATAAAATATTGATTTTGATGGGTTAGAAATAAAAGTAACATCCAGAAAGACCTCAGTGGCTGGTCTAATGCTCTGCCCTTTTGTCATTTTTGGTCTCTGTTTTCACTAAAGTTCAAGATTCTATTTTCTTATTGTAATAATTTGAAGGAAGTCAAGATATCTAGTATTGAACTTGCCCCTAATCAAGATCCGCATAAGGTGTAGTGGCAAATTTGAGTGGCTCGTTCTAAATTTTATCATTTTTTTAAAAAAAAATCTATATAGGGATCACCAGATATAACATAAAGCTGAAATTCAGGAAAGCTAGTTTAGGTTTATTTTTAAAAATAACATACACAGTAGACTATTTATAATTAGAGCAGTTGTACTTATTTTGAATGCTAAACTGCAATATCACAAATTGTACTTGAAATTCTACTCAGTTTCAAAAAATGTTTTGCTATTCAATTAGAGGAATGTAAGCCCAAAACTATACAGTTCTATAAAACAGCAATCTGCATAATTCATTTAGCTATAGTACTATTTTCTGAAGACTTTGCATTTATATCCACATCCATGTTTATTTGAAAGAGTGATTCAGCTTGACATGCCTTACTTATGGATAAATCATATTTAGGACAGAACTGTGAAAATATTAGAAACATGAACCATAATAATATAAATATAAATTAAATTGCTATTAAAATTCTAATTTGCTTAGTCCTTGAAAATAGGAGGTTAGATGTACAAATTGTTATCTAGAACAGAGATGATATTTTGGTATATACAAGGCCCTGATCTAATGGAGGATTCTTTCTGATCAGATACCACGGTACTTATCAGTTCCTCTTTTCCTTGCAATATTTTATGCTCTTCAAAATATTTTTTATATAGTTGGAACAGTGGGGGATAGGGTGTGTAGCTCTAGAAGGAGGTGAACATTAGGAAAAAAATAGTATTCACCCCTTTTTCCATTATCAGTGTTGTTTGAGTAGAAAACTCTACAGAAGCATTCCTGTGAATATTAAAAATCTTCACTTTAAGCAAGCATTTGACAACTAGTTTGGTCTAGTGCAATGGTTCCTAACCCTGTTGAACGAATCACCCCCTTGAGCCAATGAGGAAGTTGTCATCCCCCCTCCCCCAACATAACCTCTCATAGGAAATAATTCTTCAATTTATGCAAACACTTTTTTTGTTTTCTTTAAAATTGTCATCAGAACATATCGATGTAAATAATTTATTTCCAGTCTTTTTCCCATATCTCAATTGTGTGAAAAATGTTGGTGCTACCCATCACTTTATTCCCAAACTTCGTGATACATGTATTTCACTATTATCTTATTTATTCAAGACACTTAAATGTAATGACCACTGAAAACAAAATTCAATTGTAAGAAAGTGAAATACTCAAAAAGAAAAACAGGAACATTTAATGATTGAATTACAAGTGAAATTTAAGACGCAAAAAGAAATATAAAAAGGGCATAGGAACAAATCGCAATGCAGGAACTAAGAATTTCAAGACGAAAACTCTGAAACTAAATTAAGATTTGAGGAAAGTATATATAATCACACGCACTGTAAAAAGGATTAAAAAGACACAAAGAAAATATAATATTGAACTGGAGCACACACTAAAAAAGTACAATACAAAGAGACACACAAAATGTTTTACAGAGCACAACAAAAATTTGAAAACGAAGCCGATGCGTATTCACATATGTATGGTGTTCTGTACTGAAGCTAGCTGGAGGAACATTTGAAAACACAATTCAATCCACTAATAGCGAGCGATCTGATGTTTTTGTACGACAGATATACAGCGATTCATTGTACGAAAAAGTCTCAAAAGTGTCCCCAAAACTTCTCGCTCCATCGCCCTCTTTTTGTTCCTTCACCCCCACGTTGCCCCTTTTCGTTCCATTGCCCCCCCTAAAAAATGAAATCGCCCAGGTTAAGAACCACTGGTCTAGTGGTTAAGGCACCAGGCTAGAAACCAGGAAACTGAGAATTCTAGTCCTGCCTTAGGCATGAAAGCCACCCAGGTGACTTTGAGCCAGTCACTCTCTCTCAGCCCACGATCTCAGGCACAGGTGACAAACTGGTTGGTCAACTTTGGTCACAACCAATGAATCAACATTCATTTGGTCTGAAAAGTGGATCCTGCACCTGTGAGAAAATACCAGGAAAATGCCTTTAAGTAACCAAATATATGGTTGGTATTATCTCCCCCTCTCCCCCATCTTAATGGTCTTGTACTTCTCTCACCCGCCTCTTTCTTTCTCCTAGGCAGACAGAGAAGATGTTAAAGTAACAAGAATCAATGTGGAAGAGTATGGATTTCTAAAAAGACAAACTACCCTAATGCCTGAATGTTTGCTATAGCAGCTCTTCAAGACCGAACATGCAATACCCTAACTACAGACACAGTGATTAATCTGATATTGCAGCCATGGAAGACAACTTAAGCTTTTGGGACAGCTTGATATTTTCACACCCAATCTGCATGAACTGGAAGTCAGAAGCCGAAGGATCGATCTATCATTTAGCTAGCATTTTGTTTGTGGTTGGCTTTATGGGCGGAAGTGGCTTCTTTGGCTTGCTCTATATTTTCTTTCTGCTAGGGCTGGGTTTTCTCTGCTCATCTATGTGGTCGTGGCTGGATGTCTGTGCAGCTGACATTTTCTCGTGGAATTTTATCCTGTTTGTGATCTGCTTCATACAGTTTATTTATGTAACCTACCAAATACGGAGTGTTGCTTTTGACAAAGAATTTCAGGAACTTTACAATGCTTTGTTCCAGCCTTTGGGGATCTCCTTGCCTGTTTTTAGAAAAATTGTCCTCTGCTGTGGTGAAGAAGTTATTACATTAGAGAAGGAACATTGTTATGAACATTGTTATGCAATGCAAGGCAAAACTCCAATTGACAAGCTCTCCTTGCTTTTGTCAGGAAGGTTTGTATTATGTTTATCCCTCCTTTCTTTAGAAACAAAAGGTCCAAGAATACCAGTTCTTTGGCTTCCTTGGCATTGTTTGGACCTGTTTAAAATGAACAGACTGGGTTTAATGCTTTGCCAGTTTAATACTAAGTGTAAACAATATTCCTAGGTCAACAAGCTACTTTAGTGGTTTAAAACAAATCAGGCCATGGAGGTGTGAGGAAGCATTAATTATGGCAGGATTTATCTTCTTGAGAAAAACTATATTTTCCTTTAGCATTGGAAAAGTTTAAGGATACTAAAAACAGAAAACTGAAAGAAAAAAGTTTGGATAGGTTTCCTAGGACTTAGAACAGGGGTCTTCAAACTTGGCCCTTTTATGACTTGTGGACTTCAACTCCCAGAATTCCTCAACCAGGCACGCTGGCTGAGGAATTCTGGGAGTTGAAGTCCACAAGTCATAAAAGGGCCAAGTTTGAAGAACCCTGACTTAGAATATTGTATTTTCAGTAGTTTTCTTTTTTCTGTGGCTAATCCCTTTTAAAATTGTTGTACTGTATCTGCCCACCCCCCAGCCCCTATTTCTACTATGTTTTCTGTTGTGTTACAACTTTTGTTTAATTTGCATAATTCTGAAAACAAAAAAAGAATGCCTTCTTAAAGTATACCTGGGACTTTGAGACCTGCACTTATCCTTGGAACATATTCAATATGTTTCATGTGAGGGCTGTATTCATTTTAATGTCCTAATTTTCATTAAACAGTGCTACATTGTCAAATCAGTTATTACAACAACATTTCATTTATCCCAGTTTCCCTTCTTTCTTCTGTCGTGTTCTGGAACATTGGAGAAACTACAGGTTGAACACAAAAGCTATATCCATGTCCCCTTCTTTTGTACCAAACTCAGAGTGCAGAACATCTTTGGACAGAATATTGAAGTCTTTTCAAATAATTGATTAATATTTTTTGTTTTTAATTTGTTCATAAAAGAGACAAAATAGTATAGAACGGAGGTCTCCAGAACCCTTCTAGGTTAGCGGACCAGAAGGAAAGGGACGGGAAGCATTTTATGCGCATCCACGCACACACACACAAACGGATCTGTGAGCATGCATGAAGCAAACGGCGGTGCTAGTGCCCGCATGACACTAGCACCGCCCCGTTTTCACCACGCGGTGCCCCTTTTTTGCCGTGCAGCACCCTATTTGCATAGCGGCACCCCATTTGCGTAGCGGCAGCAGTGCTAGTGTTAATGGCCAGCCTGTCCTGCAGACCAGTGGACAGGAGGCTACGGCCCGTTAATGGGCCGTGGCCCACAAGTCGGGAACCCCCGGTATAGAAGATAGACTAATAGACTGCTAGTTGATCTGAAATACATCTGCAAGGTTTTTTTATTCTGAATTTCTTAACCATGGCAATTATTTTTTTTAAAAAACCCTCACCTTTCCAAATTACATCATTACAATAAAAAAATGAAATGGCAAAAGGTATTCATTAGTTCACCTATTCAGTGCAATTGATATTCCCAACTTCACATTTTTTTGTATCAAAGTGGTGAACCTGATAATATTAAGCACAGGTCAGTTTATGTGTCATAAATACTGAAGGCTTACTCTGTCCATGCCAAGGGTAAAGGAACATTGAAACCTATAACGGAAGTGATTTATGTATGGCTGAAGAAGCTAAAGATCTTAATTTTCAAAATGGATTCAAGTTTGATGGGGCACAACTCAATCCTATGAACAGCTTATCAGTTTCATTGTACATAGTGAAAACAGGACCAAGGTGTAGTTCTGAAAGATCCATAGTCCAGCCATCTGTTTCCATAGTAGTCAGATAGAAACTTTTAGCAATTCCACAAGTATAATGAAAGGAACTTGACTTATTTCCAACATACAGGTATCTGGTTGCCAAACATTAATAATTCTATTTAGGATAATATCTAAAACCCTTAATAAGATTACTCTATGTGAATTTGAATTGTTGTAACCCCCCTTTTCTTATTCTCAGAAATTCTGCAAATTCCGGATAATGGATATATTATAATCCATGTAGCACATTCAGATAAAAAATCCTTGACAGCTTCCAGCCATTTTCATTGTTCCTCTATGGTATTTTTGTCTTTCTGGCACTGCAGTTACAAGCCAGGCTTATCTTGCAGAATGAATGTCTTTGAAAACTGCCTACTTATTTTTCTTTTCTTTTCTTTGTGCAGGATTTCTGTTTTATGCCTTTGTTATTGTTGTTTCTTTCTGGGTTTATGCTTTTCTTGAATACTTACTGGACTATTGCCAAGGAAATTCAAGAATATTAAGAAAGATGTGACTTGGAATTTTTTTTAGAGGGGCTTTGCGTCAGAAATTGCCATTTTCCATTTGACTGTTTTTGCTGAAAAATCTGTAAATAAATATATGTAGTTTATTAGTAAATGCATATAGATATTAGACCTAAAATAATAATCCTGAAAGCTAAGACATTATTTAATGCCGCTGACATGGCATAAATTACTCAGAATTTAAATATTATTCACCCTGGTCATAAACCTAGGCATTTTTTTCCTTTTCCTATGCTGGCAGTTATTAACACAAATTGATCTGTTTTGTTAAGAATTAGAGTGACGGTGGATGGGGAATTTCTGCATTATATTTTCCCTCTTCAATTTCTGGATTCACCTGAATGGGATTCACTAAGACCCACAGAAGATGGCATTTTTCAGGTAGGGAACTTCTGTGAATCTGTCAGATAAAATACTCCTTTTCCAGAACTGAACCACAGATACTCCAGGAAATATCTAATTTAAGATTAAGACCTATCTCTCTAAGAATTTGTATTGACAGCACTTTTTTTTTTTAAGAAAAAGGATCTAAATACTAGGATAATTAATGAAAATGCTGCTGGAGTAAAGTATGTGAAAGTTAAAGCAAAGTTCAGTGATTTTGAAAAAGAAACTCTTTTTCTGTAGGCTTTTCCATGCATCACACATTTTCTTTTCTACTTGCCACTGGAATGAATAGCTAATGCTGACAATCGAACTCATGGCTTTGTAATTAATGGAATATCCAGAGTCAGGAGTGGTTTCAACACCAGCAAAACTAGTTTTCTGGCATTAGGGCTCTTCGAGTTAGATCATTCATTTAGCAACCTTTTGAAGTTACCATAGCACTGAATGGACTTATGCTTAGTGCCCAAAGTTATGCTATTGCAATGTCCCTGCATTCTCATGATCAAAATTTGATGCTTGTTGGCCCACCCATACTTCAACTCCCCACTTATTTATCCCCCCATCTATGCCCTTTTGGCCCCTGCACTACACAACAGCTGATGCTTGCCATCTTGTTGCTTCTGTTGCTGACCGAGCATGCCTGGCTTGACCCTTAGTCAGGCATCTGCTGGCCGCAAAGGTTTTCTTCCCAATATTACCTATGACAGCTTCCTCACAAGCAGAATGGGCCAACTTGCTGCGGCCAACTTGCCACGGCACAATTCCACGCAGTGTAACAACTTAACATGATTAATGTTATTCACCACTGTTTCTTCTACATTATTTCCATTTTTGTCAGTGGAAATAATGTCAAAGAAACTGATGGATAACATTGATTGCATTGAGTTATCCTGAAGGATTGTCTGATGGCGACTTGTCCCATGGCAAGAGAGATGGCTGCACTGTGTTGGCTGTGGTGAGATGCCGTGGTAGTTGGCTGCAGCGAGATAGCCATGGTGAGTTGGCTGCGGTGAGTTGTCCTAGAGCCCTCACAAGACCTGAGGAAGATGAGTTCACATGGTTTCCTTGTGAAAGGCCAGGGTGGGCACACCTCAGCAGCAGCAGGAGCACGAAGATGGTGAAGGTCAGCTGGAGCAGCTGAGGGAGCAAGGGCTTGAGTCAGAGTGATGAGGGCTACCCAGGCTTTGAGCCATGCTGTTGCAGCTTCTTGGGGCACAGTAGCTTTGTGCTATGCTACTGACCAAGCTGGGTGGCTGAAGCTTTATGCTGTGGGTCAGGGACTTCTTGTAGCTACCTTGTGGCCACTGGCCCCAAAGCCATATGATTTTGGGACTGATGGCTGCTCCAAAGGCAGGTGCAGGGTGGCCAAAAGGATAGAAATGAGGGTGAGGAAGCAGTTGGGAAGAGTTGAAAGGGAGGCAGTCCCTTACCTATAAGAACTGAGGCTCAGAGCTGGTAGGGATCAAACCTAGAACGCCTTGGATTGGGGTAGGCCCTTGACTAACAACCGGTCGACTTTGCTTACTGAAGGCACTTTGATTACTGTTGCTAAATGATATGGTCATGTGATGATGTTCTTTGCTGTAATAGTATTCAGCAGTGGAAATTCCAGTCCAATTGTGGTCATAAATATCTACATGTAAATATAATGGATTCCAAAAAGAATATTTTGAAAGTTTTCCTTATTTATTCTTTTGACAATATTTCCTAATCTGATATAAATGGAAACAGGTCTATTATTTGCAGTCTCTCTATAACATATTCTCCTCATCACTGGCCCATACACAGCATGCTTTAGATTGTGGGGATGACTGTCACATTTCAGTTTATAGGACTGCAGGAGAAGATGTGAAATGTATGCATGTCAGGTAGTTCCTCGTTTGAATTTCTGTCTTGTTCTCTCTCTCTTGTTTTTCTCTCTCTTTCATTTTCTCTCTCTCTGTTTATATGTGTGTGCATGTGTGCATCACTGTGCAAGTCGCTGTTGATTCCTGTCAACCCCCTGGACTCATCTCAAGTTTTTATGCCATGATTTTCCTTAGTATTTTGCCATTGCCGTCTTCCTAGGACTGAGGGAAAGTGACTGGGTTATGGTCACTCAGCTGGCTTCAGGCCTAAGACAGGAATATAATTCAGTGTCTAGCTGGATGAATTGACCACTTTATCAGTCTCTGATTTGAATAGCAGTGTCTAATTCAAAAATGAAATGGTGAATCAGCTTCCAAGAGTTTAGAGCATCAGATCATTGTTTTGTCATGGTTTCATTCCTATTTGTAGGACTGTTTACAGAAATTTAAAATTGGTGATCATACCTCTCTTCCCTAATATCTATGTTGTGTCATGCAACAGTAGCATTTTGTTCCAGTGCCATTCAACAGGTATAATGAAGCCATCTAAGGTGGTTGTTAACTGGCATTCCTAATACTGATTTGGGAATAGGATAAGACTATAAGGAGAGACCTTATCAGGTATATCAGACCTGTTGATGGTCATATAGGAATTTCATAGAAGGGGCCCTTCTCTTGAGTGGCACCTATTCTTTAGAGTTTTCTTGTTCAAATGCTAACTGTGATAATGTTTTCAACTTCAGTCCATCCACCTAGGTTTTGTCTGGGTAAGTTTGAATATATTCATAGCTGTGCAGTACATATATACAGACATCCTTCAGGGGAATTAAAATGAATGTTTTTTATAAGTTTAATTGCTGATTTTTTTAATGTTTAATTTTCATTTTGTGTATATTTTTTTCTTGACATGGTAAAGAAAGTGGTATATATAACTAAAAAGATATATATGTAAAAATTAGTCTTCCACATGAGTGAACCAAGTACTCCTTTTTGCTGCTTCAGTTCGGCTCCAGCTGCCCATTGTTGCACCATATGCTTTAATGAAAAGCTTCCTGAGAATATTCCTTTAGATTCAAACTCAAAAACAACTTGGACTGTGAAAACTTTGGCACCTGGCCTAAGTTCTATATGCCATTCTGCCGAGGGTGGGCAATGTCCACTGACAGCACTTGTTATTGGGCATGAGGGAAAAAATAAGGGAGCCAAGGAAAAAATAAAACATTTACCAATAGAAAAAACAAAATTAAATAAAAATAAAATAATAAAAATAAAAATTTAAACAATGAACGTATTTTTCAGTATCTAGAGCAGTGGTTCTCAACCTTTTTAATACCACGACCTCCCCAACCGGTCGTAAGTCGAGGACTACTCAACTGGTGCAGCACCATTTGCAGAATGGGACTTTTGGCAGGCTCAGCAGGGCAGAGACAGCCTGGACAATTCATATTGGCTTTTGAAAGCCAATAGAATTAGACTCTATTCAAGAGAGTCTATTCTATTGGCTTTCAAAAGCCAATAGAATAAAAGGGAGTAGCACAGCTAAGGAAAAGGGGGGGGAAATGGCGGACTGTGTTGTTTGGCGACCCCCGTGAAATGGTTGTTCGACCCCAAATGGGGTCCCGACCCACAGGTTGAGAACCACTGATCTAGAGAGTATTTTGCCAATAATTTTCTGTATATGATCATATGGAATTTCTATAATGATTGATCAAGTAACTAAATCCATGTACTGTACATGAAACTGGAAAAATTGAATCTTCCTTCCTTCCTTCCTTCCTTCCTTCCTTCCTCTCTCTTCCTTGCTTGCATTTCCTTCCCTTCCTCTTTTGTTCTCATGTTTTGAATTTTTAGCTCTTTATGTCAGAAGCTTGTCCTCTGGTAGCATTGTTAAGTAGAACAAACAGAATAAACCCTCATTTTAATGGCTCATTTGAGGGGAAGAGGAGCCTGTAAAATGCAGCATGAATTCTGTGTTTACCAAAACCACTGTTCTTTTAATAGATCGCCCAAATTAATGATATACCTCTGCTGGATAAACTTGTCTTTCAAAAGAAATACAATAAAGATAGAGAGCTTTTGCACTTGAATAACTTATCCAGGAAGAGAAATATATTTGTAGCAGAGAATGCTAGTAAATGGAGAAGAGTTAGAATGAAAGTCAGGAATAAACCAATTTGCAATTTTGATTCTTAAGAGTACAATAAAAGAAAAGAGTCTTGTTTTTGTTTTGTTTTTAATTTTGGTTTTTTTAAGCATAATGATAAAATATCAATTTCTCTTTTTCCCCTTCCCATTCTCGGGAAATATATCTTTCAGGTAACCCTTACTGCTGAAACAGATTGTCATTATGTGACGTGGAGGAGAAAAAAATTATATTTACTCTTTGCAAAACACCGATTCATCTCACGTCTGTTTTCAATCCTGATTGGAAATGATATTGCTGATAAACTCTATGCATTGAACGACAGAGTGAGCCAAGGGAAAGGATTTCGATATGATATTCGGCTACCAAATTTCTATCATGTATCATCTCCTAACACACCAAAAAAAAAATCGGCAGACCATTTTCAGAACAATTCAAGACAACAATAAAATTAAAGACAACACCTCTTACTAGAAAATAATGTAATTTTGCCTTCTTACCACCATTAAATGATGAAATGTACTATGGTGGTATCATGTGAAGACTCTCAAAAAGGAAACTTTTAAAATAAAAATCATTTTCTTTCCTAGCAGACAATCTACGGTAGTGGAACTCTTCACACACTGTTTAGAACCAGCAGACTGTACACATAGATTGTGCATTATGATTCATTTCTGTTGACTTGTTCTGTTCATCTTATTACTTTGGGAGAATAGGGGCAGATATGAATCATTATTTGATACTTCTTGTAATTGTACTTGCTGTGTTGTGTTTTCAAAAGCATTATTTGCATAGAGTTTTTTTCCTGCTTATTAAGATCTCCTTGTCACATGAATTATGCAAGCTATTTTATCATAGAGAACAGCAACAAGCAAACCATCTTTTCAAAAGAACCTTGGTTCACTTGTGCATAATTATAATGCATAAACTTGGCCTACAGATTTACAGAAGACGACCCATATGACAAAGAATTGAACAACCTGTAAAGCTGAAAAAGACTTGGCACTTTCTTCATTTCTATCATAAAATGATGCTTTTGGATATACAACAAAAGGCATAAGTATTACTATTTAGAATTCAAAAAGTGCATCAATCACTGCAAATGTTGCGATTTATGTAGCGCAAAAAGGTTCCATTATTTAAATAGCACAGAAGGCAGCTACAGTACCTTGATGAATGGGACACTATATATTTTACGAACGGAAATGTGATGGGAAAGGAATTATTTCTTAAAGGGCAAATAGTGGGGGGGGTTGTTTCCCCTAGTCAAAGAGAAATGAGTTTCCAAGCACTCTTAAACTAATGCCACTCCAGTGAACTGAAACAAGGGCAATAAATGCACCAACTACTGTATATAAAAACTCAAAAACTCACATTTATATAAACAAATCAATCAGTCTCCTTTCCTTTGCTTCAACATATCGGACTAACCTCAGGAACATGGAAAACATGGAATCCCATAAATCACAATATTACTTGTATCACTTTGAGGAAGAGTCTGAGATTTATAGCAGGAATCATAAACATATTTTTCATCTCAGATTTTGAATCTAGGCAACACACCTGTATTTTTCAAGAGGTTATCACATAATAGATTCCTGTTATTTTAGAAACGTCTGGTGTTGCTAATCCCAGGTATTGACAGATAAGCACTCGAATGGAAAGATTATAATAACTTAAAATATTCCTCCTCATTACTTAAAATTCTGTATTTATTGAAACCTACTGGTACAACAAGAGCATAAGCGATAACTTGAAGTGTACGTAAGCACATAAGCACTGCCCTGCTTGATCAAACTATTGGCCCATTTAGTCCAACGGTCTATTTTCATAGTGGCAGCCCACTGCACAAAAATGTCCAATAGTCTTCCTGTAGATCAGATATGTCAAACTCGCGATGTCACATAATGTCGCATGACATATCGGAACTTTTTCCCCATTGCCAGCAATGGGGTGAGTGCGGTTTCCTCATGATGCAGCCCAAGCAATTGCCAACACATCTCACTGTAGCAAATTTCAAATTATGCTTTATATTAAAAAAAAATTGTCCCGATTCTTCCAGGACTCCAATTCATTGAATGACTAGAATTGGGGGGAAGGGAAAATAGCTTCTCCTTGTCTATTTTATCTGCACATGCATAATTGTGTATACCTCAATCATGTTGCCTCAGTTGGGACCAAAAATACCAGCTGAGATTTTAGATTCATTCAAAGCTTGGAGAGAATTAAAAAGTCTTTCGTTCTTCATAACTTGGCCAATGGTGATTTTTTTTTAGATATACTGGTTTATTATGCCATTTTACATGCAAAATCAATAAGAAAAATAATACTGTAACAATTGCAAACATATGGCCATTATATAGAAGATGACTTAATCTTATCCATTTTTCAGGTCTGAATAATGTCTCTGAGCCTGGTTGTTTTCTTGCAGATGTTTCATTACCCAAACTAGGTAACATCATCAATTCTAGTACTGATGATGTTACTAGTTTGGGTAATGAAATGTCTGCAACAAAACACCCAAGCTTAGAAAGTACCAAGGACTCCTCATTTCAACTCTGAGCTATAAATATTCTCCTTTCTTAATATCAACCATACTGTACAATCTTGGGGTTAACATCTCTTTAAAGGAAGAAAAGTATACATTCTTTCCTATCTCACTAACTGATATAAAACTTCTGTATTTTTAGAAATAGTATAAGGAAAATGTATACTTCTTTGCTTCTCAAAGTATAACCTATATTATAATGGTTATATTATAATGTTTCTGTGGAAGAAACAGTTAGGATAAATGCCATTATTTTTAAAATCATGTTCAAAAGTCAGAAATATTTGAGCAATATATTTTGATTTTGATCCATCTGATTCTTGGCTAACCACACATTGTGTTTTCCATTTATTTTATTTAGTAGATTAGTAATAAAGCTGTACTATTTCATTTTGGATTTATTCTGGTCTGTCACTATATTGTTTCTTTTTAGAAACAGAAATTCTAGGACAATTAATTCAAACCAAACTAAATATATTAGATTCAGTTAGGAGTAGCTGCAATATTGATAATAAAGAAACACAATGTATTTGGAGTTAAATATTAGTAGACTGTTGTCTTATATTTTTGTTGCTTATACTCAGGGGAAGCTTAGGAAATGATAATGATTTATATATAAAAACTTTAAAAGAATTGAAACAAATTATATTTTCTATGCTAAATGTACTTGTCCAATATTGTACAGATGTGTACTTTACAAATATTTAAATTTTAGTAGAAACCTGTATTTTCTTAGCATTTTAGAATAGTTTGACTTTATGGAATGGCAGAGGGTTCTAGAAATAGTTTTTAGCAATTTGAAAATGCATTAAATATGTTGCTACCAGCAGGCATATTTAGTAGTAAATTTATACATAAAAGCATTTATATGTTCAGCAGCCCTATAAATCCCTATTCTGCATCCACTCTGTTGCCCATGCATAAATACATGTATATGAGATTCTAAAATGTATGTGTATTAATTTCAAGGTAAAACTCATCATTTGTGAAGAACGTCTAATGTACTGACACTGACATCTAGCACATGTATATACATCTGTCTATAGATCTATCATGCATATAGATACGGAGCCATGTGGACAAGGGACTGCGGCCTGTTTAGTCCCCCCCCCCCAAGTGTAGCAATTGTGCTTGTAAATACACAGGGCAGGTGGGAGGAGAGACAGTCAAACACATTAGTGAGGCAAAAGAGTTAAGTGAAAAGACTGTGTTGTTACAAATTTGGTATTTTGTATAAAGTAAATTAACATTTTCATCTTTTACTAAAGGACAACACAAAAAAGATAAACAGCATGCTCAAAAGAAAACACCCGATAAACATTTCAATTTAATGGCTAAATGGCTTTGCATTAATAAAATGCAGTGATCATTCCTATAGACAAATTGTTATTTGTGATATGCAATGAATATTGTATTCCCTCTGATGCAGATTACCATTTTAGTAGGTTAATTCCCGACTATTATCTTTATAAGATTTGATAATTAATGGAAAAAATAGGAATAATTGCTAAATGTCTGTAAATAACAGATTACTATTAATGTTTATTCAGATAGATAGATAGATAGATAGATAGATAGATAGATAGATAGATAGATAGATAATAGTAATAAAGTTGGAAGGGACCTTGGAGGTCATCTAGTCCAACCCCCTGCTCAGATAGATAGATAGATCCTACGTTTTTATAAAATCTTCGAAGTTTGCTATTTTAATGCAAAAGGCATGATGGAAAATACAAACCAGCAGCTATGGTAATAGGCATCTACAGGAAGAATATGGAACACCTAGGCAGCACTCGGAACCCTCTCTGTGGGCACACGTGCTGTTGCCCCAGCCTCGCCTCCCCCCACAACCCCCGCATCAGCAGCCCCCTGGAGGAGAGTCGTCCCTGAGCGTGGCCCATATAGAGCAGCGCAGCCAAGGACATGGCAGCCAGGCAGCGTAAACAAGACTGCCCTCACACCCCATGGCAGGCCTGGAGGTGGTGAGTGGTCCTGCAGGCAGGTGGGGTGGGGGATGGGGCGGAGCAGAGGCAAGGCCAGTTGTTGGGCTCTCGGTCTCTAAAAGGTTCGCCATCACTGATCTAGATTTTGTTATATAATCAAATTGGAGAGATATGGGAAAAAAAGTATAATAACCAGGAATGTATCCGTCAGCCAAGATCTGGTCTGAATTCAAAATATGAAAAGCATGATTCAGTTTGATTTGAATCTATTGGAAGAGAATATATGTAATTCAGAATTGAACTGTGAGTCTTTGCTGCTCTCTGAGCTTTGTCGTTTGTTTGCAGATGTTTCATTACTCAGCTAGATAACAACATCAATGTGAATGAGTGTGGGGTTTGCACCCTGTTTATATACAGCAGTTTGCCCTGAAACTTCTAAGGAGCAGATTTGAATCTATTAGAGTTTCAGTTCAATAAAGATAATCTATAAAGGATAACACTGAAAGTCTACAGCTGGTTCATTCTGAGGCCAAAATAGGATGAATGTACCAGCAAAGCAATGACCAGCTTAAAGAAAAATAACGCTTCAACCAGTAGTGGGATTCAAATATGTAAACAACCGGTTCTCTGTGTGGATGCCACTTCCGGAAGTCCATTCTGGGCCTGGGCAACAAAAAATTAGCTACCGGTTCTGCTGAAATAGTGCAAACCGGCTGAATCCCACCATTGGCTTCAACTAGATAGATTCCGGGATTTCTATGTGCTAATTTTTTTTGAAGTATTCTGTAATCTTTCAAGGCAGAGATAGAAGGAATGAAGAATGTTTTTTCAAAAATGTAAGAAGCAGATCACTGCTCTTGTGTGCCTAATATATTACAGTATTATAGTATTACTATACTAGCATGATTCTGTATCACATTAATATGTTTCACACTCATAATTACTCAGCAGCAAGCACACTACTGCAAACTTGTTCAGGCAATAAACAAGTAATCTGTCCCTAGCTAAAAGGAGATATGCAAATAGCAGACAACCTTTTTATCTTAATGCTGTAGTAGTGTTTGCAGAAGTGATGAAAATCATTTCATCAGATGCTAATAAGACCCGATCACACCATTCAACATCTCCATTCAGCTATGTAAATATAGAAAAGCTGCAATCGTGCTTAAGACTGCAGAAAATCTATCAAATCTCTAAGTCACCTTCAAATAACTGAACTGATTCAAATGCCCTCGATTAGATACAGACATCAGATCTATGCAAATAAATAAACTGATTGAATCGCCTTTCAGTTCTGTCTTCTCATAAAAACTTTGTACAGCTATAGAAAAGATATCTGTAGAAACTAATATTTATGTGACACCGAAGACTTCAGAGAGGTGGCAAACGATTATATATAATTTAAACAGTGTACCTGCAACATACTCTTGGAATCCCAATGTATCTTAGACTAGAAAGTTGCTAGCTTTCTCACTAAAGGGGAAGAATTGAAAATGATAAATGAATTTAATAAATAACCTTATCAGTGGCTTGTCTGGAGCAGAAAATATTCCATTTTAATAAAATATTTCTCACATCCTCACTGATGACAGCCCATGGATTGTTCCTAGGATTGTGACAAGTGATAACCATTCTTGTTTAAACTGTGAAGTGGATAGAGGACTTTAAGTTAGAGGTAAACCAACAGACCAAATTAATATTTATTGCTTGGGGAATGCATTAAAAATTCTTATGCTTTGGGGAAATAATTATTTTTATACATTAAAAGCATGGGGCCTTCAGGTTCTGTTACATAAATCTTCATGACAGTCCCCTCCATATGGCCAAACTGAAACATAAACAAGTTTAAATTTGTTTTGAGAAGCCTATATGCATATAAATAAGAGAGATTTGGAACTTGATTGCATGGATTCTAAACATTCCACATTCTTTTAAATGTACAGCTATAGGTTCTACCACTGCAATCAGCAATCATCTGATCTTTGCACTCCTGCATATGAAGTCAAGGATAGTATTTTCGTTCATTGAGTCAGATTTGCTTCTTTAACTTTTACTACTGCATCAGTCCTTTTCTTAATCAAGCTTACCTCCTGCATCTTTAATCTTTTGATCAATACAGTATCCTGATTCTTGGTACACATGTTAATTTTATTCACTCATCTGAAGTGGAATACCTTAGGCCTACCTGGAATGGGTTCGCTCTGGTGTCCAGTTCCAGGCCTATGTCTGTCTGTGTATGCTTGTGCATATTAAGAAGAAAGATCTCAGTACTGGGACTGTGCACTTGCTTTAATTGGGAAGAAGTGTTTCAGAACTGCAGGAGCACAGGAAGACACTATTACTCATAAAAGCAGCAGCCACCCTTTTGTTAAACTTTTTTTAGCCAAAGATGCAGCTGATTTCCAAGTCTTGTTCATTTAAATGAATGACACTTTAAAGTAGTTGCAAGATTTTTTTTTCTCTTTTAGGGTTGGATTTAGACATGGGAAGGCCTGGGAAGCTATGGAGGCTGTATTTGGAAAATGTTCATAAACCATCAGACTGTTAGAATGCCACTGAGATGCATGACAAACCTATGACCGGATTAAGAAAAACCCTCTTTGAACAAAAGATGTGAATGCAAGCAAAAACAACCCACATGTAAAATTAGTGGAGGTCATATGAGGGATAATAATAATAATAATAATAGTAATAGTAATAATAATAATAATAATAATAATAATAATAATAATAATAATAATAATAATAATAATATGAAAGGGACCTTGGAGGTCTTCTAGTCCAAACCCCTGCTCAGGCAGGAAACCCTACAATGAGGGGAAAAATATATGATCCCCTGCTGATTTTGTACGTTTGCCCACTGACAAAGAAATGATCAGTCTATCATTTTAATGGTAGGTTTACTTTAACAGTGAGAGACAGAATACCAACAAAAAAATCCAGAAAAACACATTTCAAAAAAGTTATAAATAGATTTGCATTTTAATGAGTGAAGTAAATATTTGACCCCTTCGCAAAACATGACTTAGTACTTGGTGGCAAAACCCTTATTGACAATCACAGAGGTCAGACGTTTCTTGTAACTGGCCACCAGGCTAGTATACATTTCAGAAGGGATTTTGTTCCACTCCTCTTTGCAGATCCTCTCCAAGTCATTAAGGCTGACATTTGGCAGCTCGAACCTTCAGCTCCCTCCATAGATTTTCTACCAGATTAAGGTCTGGAAACCGGCTAGGCCACTCCAGGACCTTAATGTGCTTCTTACTGAGCCACTCCTTTGTTGCCCTGGCTGTGTGTTTTGGGTCATCGTCATGCTGGAATACCCATCCACTATCCATTTTCAATGCCCTGGCTGAGGGAAGGAGGCTCTCACCCAAGATTTGACAGTACGTGGTCTCGTCCATCGTCCCTTTGATGCGGTGAAGTTGTTTTGTCCCCTTAGCAGAAAAACATCCCCAAAGCATAATGTTTCCCCTCCATGTTTGATGGTGGGGATGGTATTCTTGGGGTCATAGGCAGCATTCCTTCTCCTCCAAACACAGCGAGTTGAGTTGATGCCAAAAAGCTCAATTTTGGTTTCACCTGACCACACTTTCACCCAGTTCTCCTCTGAATCATCAGATGTTCATTGGCATACTTCAGAGAGGCCTGTACGTGTACTTTCTTGAGCAGGGGGACCTTGTGGGTGCTGCAGGATTTCAGGCCTTCATGGCATAGTGTGTTACCAATTGTTTTCTTGGTGACTATGGTCCCATCTGCCTTGAGATCATTGACAATATCCTCCCATGTAGTTCTGGGCTGAGTCCTCACCATTCTCATGATCACTGCAACTCCACGAGGTAAGATCTTGCATGGAGCCCCAGACGGAGGGAGATTGGCAGTTATTTTGTGTTTCTTCCATTTGCGAGTAATCGCACCAACTGGTGTCACCTCTCACTGTCTCTCTCTGTTAAAATAAACCTACCATTAAAATTATAAACTGATCATTTGTCAGTGGGCAAATGTACAAAATCAGCAGGGGATCAAATATTTTTTTCCTTCACTGTATACCATTTCAAACAAATTTAAGAGACTCTCATGTTTGAAATCCAAATCAACCTGTAACAAATAATAATTAGAAAAAACCTTGAAAATTGGAGAAGTTCCTTCAGACTGTAAATTCCTCAGCTGTAGGCCTTTAAATTCTAGGCAACTATTTCAATGAGCCAGAAATGTCCCCCCCCCAATAGTATAATTTGGAAGAAAGTTCGCAGAGCCCTCCTTAGGCATTTAATCCTACCGTCGCTAGCGAGCTGTCGTTGACATTCCGAATAGTTTCAGGGGCCGCTGGTCATCACCAACCTTCCCCTCCCCCCCCCACACACCCGACGGGCAGTCAAGTCCCACCGTCCGGCAGCCGAACTTTTACGCGGGTGGGACGGGAAGAGCAAAGTGTACCCAAAAAAAGAGCGCCTGCGCGCTTCCCCACGCTATTCCTTTCTGAGGGCTGCAAGCGTGGGGAGGGAGCTAGCGCCGCCCGCAAGTTACTGGTGGCGGCTGCTCGATGCCTATTTTAGTCAAAACCTCCGCTCCGCCGATGGCGAGCGCTTCCTGCAGGCTCCTCTAGCAGGCGCAGCGGAGCCACAGGGCGCTCCCGTAAGGAGTCCGCCGGGTGCTGGCAGTCACCTTTGGGTATAGAAACTCTGGAGAAGGCGCCTGGCAGCGGCGACGCCGTCAGGTAAGGCTGGGACTAGGAGGAGCGAAGCAGGTGGGAGAAGATTCCGGGGCAGCCAGAACAAGCTGCGGGACTAATCAGTTGTGATATGCAGAATTGAAGCAGCTGGGAGGACGTGCAGGGCTGGGCGACATTTTCCGCAACCCGGTCTACTCACGAGCCGCCCTTAGGCGCGGGGGGGGGGGAAGGTTCCCGTGCAAATCTACTCAGTGTGAATGAGTTTGGGCCAGTTACAGCCTTTAACGCGGGCGCACTGCCTCCCAGAGCTGATACTTTGTCAGCCTCGCCCGCCGGGTGCCTTCAGTCCTGCCTATCTGCTGCCTTAGCCTACCCTTGGTACATGCCCTCTGAACCGTCTTGGTTAGATTCTCACGTCGGGACGTGAGAAAGAGCTGCAGGGACTCACGCTAATAACCCGCGGGATGACTGGAGTTGTAAAGTTCAGTTTGCAGGAGCTGAAAAACCGCTCCTTCGCTCAAAAGACCCCCAAAGCACGTTACAGAGGTTTCTTAGGTTCTCATCTGCTTTGAAACTAGAGATGCCCTACCTTCCTGTCATCCACAGGGCTGAAGTCTAATTGCAAAATGCAATGTAATAATACTGCCCTCTTCTCATTCTTCTGAGCCCTACCTTAAAGGGGGTGTGAGCATGGGCCAGGTATTCAATCATCCCTGTGCCACCATCTTTGAATGAGTCTTTATACCTGAAACAGAAGGCAAGGCTAATCAAAGCCTTGCCCAGGCCTGGCTCAGTATGTGCAGATAATTAGACCTCATTATTCAGCACAAGCCATACCACCCTCATTATTACTTTGAAGCTGAAGTAATTTTCTGAAAGGAAGAAAAAGTGCAGCCTTATACAATCTCCATCCATGTTGGGAGAGGCTGGAATATAGTGTATGTTTGTGTGTGTACAGTATGATGGAAACTTGCAATAAATTGGCAGTCCTGATATGGCCAGATATGGCCCTAAGTCTTCCAATTATATCCCCCCTCCAAGATTCCTGAAGTTACTGTCTAAGAAGAATGTGATGTCTTTCCCTGTTATCCTGTTTCCTTGCTCATGTGGACAATATGTTTGAAATACCAGATTTAATAGCAAGTAAATATGCTATGTTTAATAGTGTATAGATTTCAAGTAATTCCTTTGCCTAGAATCTAGAATGAATATTATAATATAAAATAATATATCTGAGAGAGCTGGTTTGGTACGATGGTTAGGGTACCAGGCTGAGACTGTGAGCCTGTAGTCCTGCTTTAGGCATGTAAGAGGTGACCCTGGGCCACAAGGAAATGTACTGAAAATGTTCTCAAGAAAATTGCATACTGACTTGAAAATGCACACGTACACACATATTGTATACACTAATTTGTTTTAACCGGCTATACATTAAAACACCCATTAAATGCCCACATACAAATGCACACGTAGATAATTTTAGGAAAATCTTGGACAATGTTGTATCATACCACAAAAAAAAGTAAAATGCAGATTACCTTTTTAGTATAGAATTCTTGAGTTCTTCATAGGGACATTTGCTTTAAACAACCAAGACCACATTGATATAAACCAGGCTATGATATCCAGTGGAGATTTTTCTAACTGCCTGTATATCTGTGAAGTTGGGGATCAATATTTCATGATGCATGGAAGTTCACTGATTCCCTCTCTCTCTCTCTCTGTCTCTCTCTCTCTCTCTGTCTCTCTCTCTCTCTCTCTCTCTCTCTCTCTCTCTCTCTCTCTCTCTCGTTTCTATTTGAAAATAGCACCCTACACATGTAGAGAAAGGTTAACTATATCAAAAATTAACATAAAATGAAGTTCAGACGGCAGATATTTTGCATTCTGCTAGAGTATCCAGCGTATATTGAGTACAAGTCACAGATACATGTGTGTGGATGCATAAACTAAAGAACTATTGAGAGAATCACTATCAAATTTATTGCATATAGAAAAAATATCAAAGGCTAGATGGATATTGAATCCCTTTGCTGATATTCATAAGTGGATAGTTTTCTGAAAAATCAAATGTTTGGTCTGTAATATTATGTTTGAAAATTAAATATTTTTTTTGTTGCCCTTAAAACTTGGCTGTTAAAATATTGTGTACTCTTTTGCTTCTTATCTTCTATTCAGCATTGCATTAGGTACTATATTTAGTAGTGCTGCCTAATGTCATAGCTACATGGCAGTTGGATAGGTGTGGGAGAGATAAGCAGAACTCTAACTTTATTTTAAGTATTCTCTGCTAACAAGTTATTTGAGTGCCAAAGCTATACCCATTACTTTGTTGAACACACTTTATGTACACAGAATGACATAGATAAGGGCATACAGTTCATGGTGATTGAGTTAATTTTGATAAATACAAGGACTGGTTTTCTTTTTAAAAATTATTAAGTGAACATTCAATATGTTCCATGTATAACTTTTCAAGCTCTCAGGATATTCAACCCTCTTGCAAAAAGACATCTATTCAGTCACACTGCAAGTGCAACCTACCATATGTTTCTTTTTAACAGGCTACTTCAAGATGAATGCCGTAGAAGCCAGTTCAATTACCATAACCCCACTGAACTTCAGCCTGGACTTCAAAAATGCCACTTCTGTGCCTTTAAATGAAACTGTATGTGAAAATTGGAGAGAGATCCATCACCTGGTTTTTCATATGGCCAATATTTGTTTTGCAGTTGGGTTGGCTATTCCAACCACTTTTAATCTCCATATGATTGTCCTAAGAGCTATGCTGACAATGGGTAAGCAAGGTTTTATTAGACTCAAACATTGCACCCTTGAGAATCTATTGTAATGATAACCCACTATAATATAGTTGTAAAACTTATTTCTCTATTCCTGCTGCTTGATTTTGTTTGATTTGGGGGGGGGGGTTGCTTTGGAATATGTATGGAAAATTAATCCATAAGTACTTTTAAAAAATAAATGAACAATTTCATTTTCTGACTGTGCTTCATGACAAATATGGGTGGTATTCTTCTGTAATGCTATAACTTCTATTCTTTTCCTGGCATAGTCTTCATTGTTCTTACTACCATTAGTCTTTTCTTGGTAGATTGTTCTACGGAAGATAAATACGTTTGATCACAACATTGTGCTGTACTTAGTTTTCTGGATTAGGGATGGCAGAGTTATATGCCTAATAGTTTTGCACTTTTACTTTTGACAGGATGTGTACTTTTTATCATCTGGGCAGCCCTTTTTCGTTGTGCTGTGGATATGGTAATCTGGAATGCGGCATTCCTTGTTGTCAATCTTCTGCATTTTATGTACTTGCTGTACAAGAGGAGGCCGGTACGTTCATCACCACTAAGTCAATGATAGATACATAAGGAAATTATTTAAAAGAATTGGTCTTGCTTCTAAATGGGCTCGTTTGGCTAATTATTGATGTATATACTTACTATACCACAAGGTATTTTTGTTTTCTATTTTTTGTCACTGCCAAAAAAAGTATAAGAGGTTATTAATCTTTATTAAGATTAATAAAGTTTTCATTTACATAGCCTGTAGTCCTAGTGTAAGATGAATATAAAATGTGCAAATATTGAATGCCAAGAGTTTTGCATTTGTAATTTAATTATATCATGTTTTGTTTGCTTTTAATCTTCTTGAGGGCTCCTAAGCCACTTACAGTTCTTTGGGAATGGAGCAGCATATAAATCCTAATAAGTAAGTAAGAATAAACAATCAGGATTTCAGCGCAGTACTATATTATGATATTATATGTTATTTGTTCTAAGTCCATAACTTGGTGGTTATATTTTGAACTTATTCTTTTGGTAATTATGTAATTATGGTATTGTTGGTCTTAACTGCATCAATAAACATTCTTAGTAAATACTATTACTAATAGTAATAATACTATTATCATATATCCAATAATACTATTTTTAATAAGAGCATTATGATACATTGGTTCTATTTTCAGCACTATTCATAATTCTCAGTAGGGTACAATTTGTTTTTCTTCTTTCTCTTCTTCCTCTTCTTTTTCCTCGTCGTCTCTCCACTGCAATGAAGGTTTCCTTTTCATTTATTTTCATTTATTTATAGCACTTGTATCTCTTCCTCCCACTGAGGTGGGAGGGGTGAAGCTCATGACCATTGAAAGTCATGCTATTAAAGTTTAATAAAAATAAGAAATAAATTATTTTCAGGAGAAATATCTTTACAAGTTTCTCTAATATATTTCACATTTGGACAACAAAAAGTCATCACTGTCTACCAGAATGACTTATATATCTTGATTTATATGTGGAAAATATTCTTTACATATCTTTATTTTATCTTTATATTAAAATCTTTCATCGTGTATAGTGCTGAAGTAGTACATTTTTAAAATATGCAATTGTCTTTTATTTGATAAACATGTATATAGATAAATTTTACATATGTATATAAAATAAGAATGATAAGATATAATTATAAAAATATTTAGATATATAATTTCACAAACTGGGTCATATCCAGTGAGTAAAAGGAGGCTCATTGAGTCATTGGAAGCTTCCCTTGGTGAAACAGAAAGAAACATGAAGTTTTACAAAATTGATATTTAGGTTCTTTGACCACTCTATATTAGATTGTTAAGTGAGGAGGAATTATATGCCAATATTATTTCTATCCCTGTTCTCTGACAAAAGTTTTTACTGCTTTAAAAATAATTCTGTCAACAGAAAGACACTGATCATTCACAATTTGTCAGGGCTGTTTTCCACTATGCAATACAATTACGATACCCTTTTTCTTGAAATAGCCAGGTAAACCCTAAAGGTAAAAATGAGTGGGATTGCCTGTCTCCTGACTAGACATTTGACATTTGAACCTTATTGCAAACTTCTCTAGCTCTCAGCCTTTTTTTTACCTATAAGAACCCATATGTGCAGTAGGCGTTTGTATGACTTAATGGTTCATCTGCATTCCAGTATCCTTTGCAGTAAGGTTTTTTTTGTTTGTTATCAGTACCAAATATCCAACTAGAAATTTTACAATGTTATCTTTTCATTCAGTACAGCTTGATTGAAATAAAATTAAATGGGCTATCATACAACATCCTCTAAGTTTTTCTCTTCCTCATAGATGAATCTGCTATCAAAAGAGCAATAAAGTGGGTTGAAAGGGAAGTTGTCCATTTGCCTAGTCATATATTGCGAGCTGCATCATTATAATCTTAGAAATGGAGAGGGGGAAGAGGTTTTACTGGCTGGTCAATGGTTTAAAGAAGTAATCCTGTCCTTGTCACTTCCAGAGCTTTGCTTATCAGGTACTGCAGAGGAAATGCTGCTATCGGAAAAGGTGCAGATGCTTTTGCAGTTGATTGAGGCATAGGCCTGGTTTATCACAGGCAGAGATGCATGATATTTGCTCCATTCATCACTGAAAAGATTTCCTCTGTGGTCAGCAGAGCTGTCCTTTTACATCACTTCTGTATAAGCGCAGCTGCTCTGAGGCACCATTCCTAGAAGAGCCAGTTCACAATAGAAACCACAGTTATCTGGCACAGGGTTTATTTCAATCTCCCAGACAAATCCTATTGTCGGGGGAGGGATGGGCTGCCTGAAAGATCTTATATTGATAAAAAAACAGCTTCACATTACTCTTTAATCCCAAGGACAAAGCTCTATTTTCCCCTACAGAGCACACATCTCCATTTTACCCAGTTTCCTTTCTTAAATTCAGATTATTTCTTGTTGATATAGAAGTAAATTAATTAAGAATAGGCCCAAGACTGCCTGCTCCACTTGAAGCTCTGTGTGCCTCCATTTGAGCTTCCATCATTATTTATCTGGCTCAATGCGATATTATCTTTGCTTTCTTTTCTGCCCATTTTCTGCTTCTGGTAAAAATTAATTGATCTCTCCTCTGCTCACCTACAGTATGTTTTCAGATAAGACAAGGCATAGTGTTCTGGGTATTGACTCTATTGAATTAGAAGACTAAGTGTTGTCAGTTTGGCCTTCCTCTCACACACTTCACTGTTTTAATGTACTATGTGAAATTGGACATCCTTTCCATTCCATCACAACAACATTTTGTGATACAGGCTGTTGTGCAGCTGAGGCAAACAGGGCCTCCAAGTAGGGCAGGCAATCTGAGAAGCTTCAGTGTGCCCACAGGGATCTCCTTTGTGCCCACCAATCTAGCTACCCCACCTGGCTTTTTAAGCACACTATTTTAATTATGTAGATTTAAGCTGGCATGGGCCAAGACAGAGCACCAGGGCCTGAAAAAGATTTCTACAAATTTATCAGCATTAAGGAAACTCAAGTAATTCAATGCAGAGATATATAAAATATTGCCTATTTCAGACAAAGCATCCCAGGTTCTTTGCTGAAGTGTATATATGAGGGAATAACACAATAAAAATATAAGCCCCAATCTATACATCCCACTTGGAATTTTTTTTCTTAGATTTCTATCCCACTTTCCTTTAGGAGCTTAGGATGACATACATGACACTCACATCTCCAGCTTCTCCACACAACTTTTCCTCACAGCAAGAACACTGTGAGGTAGGTTAGACTGAGTGAGAATAACTGTCCCCAAATTATACACTACAGCTTCAGTAGTTGAGAATGAATTTGCCGTGGATATCCCCATTTCTAATGCATCATTGCAATAATTTTTCTGTGCTGGTACATTGTATAGTGACCTTCCCAAAGATTGTGCAGTTGGCAAAGATGTTCACCCCACCCGCCCCAAGTAGCTGCATTTGTACAAACTCTGTAGCTTCTTTTATCTTAATCATGCCTTGGTTTTGGCTTTCAGTAGTTTAAGCACAGCCATTGAGTTACTTTACACTTTAATGCATTGGGTGAAATAATGAACTGGACTCATCTAGTAACCAGATTAAGCATATTATCTGAATCCAGTCTGCAAGGGCCAAGTTTTCATTGGTTTGCAAAAGAAATCTGAGTAAAGGGAAATGTATGGCAGAGAAGTATACAAATCATGCCTGGATCAAGAAAGCAGATAATTAGAAATTGGGATCATGCAAAGTTTGGGGGTGGATGATTCATGAAACGCTACTTCAGAAAGTGAATAATGAATATAATGAATGTAAGATGCAGATATCATCAATATATTGAAAATTAAAAACAAACAAATAGAAACGATTGCTATGTAGCAGTCAAGAAGGATGGAGCTATCAGTGGCTGGTAATAGTGGTGATATGTTGCATTGTGTTTCAAGAGTAATGTGTGTTTTAGCAGGATTACTAGAGAACATGAGTGGGAAGATACTGATATACTCAGGTCCTACTCAGACTTCTCAGAAGCATTTGGTGGATCATTGTAAAAGTCAAGTATTGGGCTAGACAAAGTTTGGTCTTTAATTGGTTTCAGGGATTTTAATTACTTTAAATAAAGGACAAAAAGAATGGAGTAATAATATACAATACTACATAGAACTAACTTATGTTCATGCACACTATTGTCTTACAACAATCTGAGAGGCAAGAGATTTATTATTCCCAGATGGGAAGGTGATGATGCTAATAAGGTAATGCAGAATGTATAAGGCCAGATTTCACAGCAAAGGCAAGATTTGAACTGAATATTTCCTGATTTATAGCTCAGACTTTTTTGATACTGTCCTTTGTCATCCATACTTCTGGGATGCTTGATAATCTATATGATTAGAAAAGAAATTTATGTGAATTTGTATCTGCTTAACTGTATCAATATTTTCTGCTCACAGCTGTGGCTGCAGTATCAGATTGGAACACTTATTTTTGAAAATATAATTGTTTTGAGTAATTTTTGACCTATAACTTCACACAATTAACCAAAACAGAACTGCAATTTTCAGCAACAACATTGGTTGACAAAAGGGAACTAGCATTTCTCCCCTTTGCCATTAAAGTCCATGCAGCTTAGAGTCTACACACATATGGAAAAAGAAATTATTTTTAAGCAAGATTGGATTTTCTAATGTAGTCTCTTGTCTTTTTTAAATTTCCTTATTTTTCTATAGGTTTTGTTTTTCTATCATGAAAATAGTCTTAACTTTATGTGCTAAAGGGCAGGTTAAAGAAGGATAATATTGGTTGGATGAGCCATGACATAATCCTCCATTGTGAAAAAAGGATTGTCATCACAAAGCTGTTTGTAAATATAATAATTTGTGAAAACTAGATGGCTGTCAGTTGGTAATTATAGACAACTGAACAGATCAGAATGAATTTTGAATGAATCCTGAACTTAACGTGGTGTGTAACTGCCATATTCTGTATTTGTTTGTTTGTTTGTTTGTTTAAATTATTGACTGCCCATCTTTCCACAGGGCAACGCTAGGTGGCTATATAGAATGGGCAGCCTCTATAGAACTGGGTTACATGTTACCATGAAAATAGGAAAGATTTATGGCAATTGTATTGTTCTTTGGGAGCCACTGACATGTAGCAATGATGGTATAACAATTTTGTGAGAGGAAAATTAAGGAGGACAACTTTTTGACTCTTAGCTACTCTTGATAGTTTTGGCCATGATATTTCCCCTAGACTGCTCCTGTGAGTTGAAAATTGAAGGCATTGCATTACAATAGTTCCAATCAATCTGAAACACGGTTATGTACCTTGGAAGTTGGTTGTGACTTCTAAAAATGCACTTTTTTGTCCCAATGCTCTTTAAAGCTATATGAAGTCCCTAGGGATGAACATAAGGGAGTATTGGGATAATATTTTTTTTGCCCATAATATTTTACTCAGGAAAGCTTATTCATATTCTGAATCAACACTTGGATGCTGTTATGGGTTAGATGAAAGTCAATAATTCAATGTTGAATCCTGAAATGACAGAAATCTAACTGTGATTCCTATGTACAGGAATTTGAGGATCTTTATTTCAATAGAAGAGAATATATGTATTCAGAGTTCAACTGTGGGATCTTTGGTGTCTCTGATTTTAGTTGTTTACTTGCAGATACTTCATTACCAAACTAGGTAACATTATCAATACTAGATAGGTAATGAAACATCTGCAAGCAACCAACCAAGTTCCAACAGCACCAAGGACTCCAGAATGAATTTTGTGTTCAGAATGGAATCGCGATGCTCCAGAAAGAACAGGAACGTACTTTAGGGAAGCCTCTAGTTATTATAGATTTCAGAGGTCCAAGTAATCTTGTGCACAGGAGAATTCATTAACAAAATTAGTTGGAATGCTAATTACATAGTCTCTTTGATATAATAACAGATGTTCTGTTATTGAACACACACTGATGACTTCATTAGATTAGATAACATTCTATGTGGAGCGTCTTTGTGCTTGCCTAGAAAATGCAGAATGTAAAGTAGAATCCTTCCAACATTCTGAGTGGGATATCTCATCATACACACAATGAATGTCAATTTATCAAGCCAAGTTCATGCTTCCGACACTAAACAGATCAGCACCAGGATATTTAATATCCTGTTACAAATCTGAACAATCACTATGCTCACCAGAAAGTGTGTATATTGTGACTGACATGTCATCTTGCAGTTACAGAAACAACTAGTAGCAGCTGTGCTCTAGAAAGCTCCTTTTCTTCCTTTCCCCCCATCCCCAATCTGTGACACCTGTCAATATGCCCTTTAGTTGCCTGTTGAAGACTTAATTCTTCCCCTGGGATTTCTTTGAATGAAAACATCATGATTAGCTAGTTTTATTTATTTTTATATTCTATTTTACCATGCAGTTCTGATTTTTACTCATAAACAGTTTTAACTTTGATAGCATAAAAAGCAGTATTAAATAAACAAATCAACTGTAAACTTTTACTGATTTTTTTTTTTTTGCCAGCAATGATATTTTTGGAGAGTCCTTTTAACTGAAATGATCATGTCTTAAAACCACTTCTGCATTTTTAATGTTGATAATATTTCTTCATTATTGTCTTCCAGATAAAAATAAATAAAGAGCTCAGTAGCCTATACAAGAGAATGTTTGAACCACTCCATGTTCCTCCAGAGCTATTCCAAAGATTGACAGGACAGTTCTGCAATATTCAGAGTCTAAAAACAGGACAAGCATATGCTGCAGAAGATAAAACATCAGTGGATGATCGATTAAGTATTCTACTAAAAGGAAAGTATGTACCTGAAATAATTGGATCTGGATCTCCCCTTTATATAGTTGAACTGTGTGAAAAATGCACACTCAATCTGAAAGAGATACCGTAGGTGAGGCTACTAGATCTGGTCTGCACAAATCCAGACAACCACTAGATGGCAGCAAATAATTTTCAATATTGCTTTGCTGCCAATGTATACTCATCTGGAATTTTGCAGCTCAGGTCTAATAGACCTAAAGATAAGATGATTAGATTAAAAAAATCTGTCTCCCATGGACAGGAGAGCTCTTTCTAGCCAATAGAAGAATTCTGCTATAAAAGTTGCCTCATTAAATCTCTTTTCATTTAGGTTCATCCAAAATCTAATCCAAAAATTTGAGGAATTCTCTGAATAATGAACCTGGCACTAGACGCTAAAGGAGATAAATAGAATTAGTGATGATTCTTTCCTTTCCCATTTATTCTGGCATATATTTATAGAAAAATAGTCTGCTTAGGGCATGCCTAAGGATAGTTTATTTTGTCAGAGCATGCACAGTCTTATTGCTCTGAGATAACCCAGGAATAAACACAGTAAACAGTGGTCTCTATTATATGGCGGTTTATCTTACACAATCTACAATATCATACACCAGAAAAAAATATATATACACATGTTAATACAGCAGGCTCCATCACACCACAGTTACAGCAGGAAATGGAAGAGAAGAGAATACAGCAGCAGAGCCTTCCTTTTATACAAAGGCTCTTAAAGAGACACAGACCCAGCTGGCTGTTAAAGGGACATAGACCCTGCTGAGTCATTCCCATCATTACATCATACATTACATCAGCTGGTTAGCTTGTAAATCATTACCTTGTCATTATCTTTTTAGGGAAACAAAGCAAAGTTAGATCCAGTCCTGTACCTTTTTTTACTTTATCAAGTTTGGCCTTGGAATTTTCTGGTGATCTACAGTACTAACAGATCTTAATGTTTTGGAAGATCAGCCCTTACAAGTTGCTACCTTCCGTAGCTTCTGTTTAAGGTTTTGTTTTTATCTTTTAGTTATCATACATTTGTAACTTATTTCAAACAGTGTGGTTCTAGGAAGAGTTGATTGTTAATAAATGCTCAGCTAAATGTCCACGCTTTTGGGAATTGTGTGTTTAAGAAATGTATTTCTTTAAACCTCAAAAATGTTTGTGACAATGCTCAAGTCACTTGGTTCATGATTCATTTCCTCTTATTACAGTGAGCCAGAGGGTTATCTTATGCTTTCCTAAATTCTTGGTAGCTTATTTATTTACTTACTTCATGTAGAGAAATTGCCTTAATTATTAGGTAACAGAACAGTTTCAATTAATCCCATCACTGTTGGTAACATCAAGACTGAGAAACTAATGTTGGGAACATCACTACTTCTCCCAACCCCAACACCACGGTCTTTTCCTCCAGCAGGAGTAAGGAATAAACCCTGCCTCAAATTAAAAACTGAATAGAAGCTTGGCAAGGACCTTAAAGTCCAAACTGAAGTTAACAAAGCAGAACAATACAGATTCCTTCTTCTTTCTTCTGCTCTTGATGTGCCAATTTATAATTCTTCCTCATTTGCTCTTTCTCCCAATGTAGCTATCCATAATGCTACATTACATCTGCACTGATGTTAATGCATCATTAATTGTAACAGGGAGTTGCAAATTATATTTTCACTGTGCTTAGCTTACTATTGGTTAGTAATGATTCATAATGAAATATAGTGAACATTGTACATATAAATGTACCATGCACCAAGAGGGAATTAATGCAAGTAAGAGGGAAGGACGTGGGAAGGAATATCTAAGTGTAGGATATGATTCAACAACAGATTGCGTTTGTATTGTGCCTCTTGGAGAATGGCTTCACTGCAGGGGTTCCAGAATTTTAACTAGTAAAAGTCAATTAAATTTTTTCTATGATGACAGAAGTTGTGTGAATTGATCTGTTTGCAAATAATTTTACTCTATTAGAAATTAAGCTGCTGTATTGCCTATATTATCAGTTGTTTTAATACTTATTTTCATCATCAGAATGAAGGTCTCCTACCGAGGGCATTTTCTGCATAATATTTACCCATGTGCCTTTATAGATTCTCCTGAATATCGATCAACTCAGATGAATCGGGGTGAGAAATTCCAGGTATGGAATCAACAGTTTCTTTAGGAATAAATATAATTATCATGGAGATTCCCCAGTGAAGAAAAATTGAGGAGCTATGAATTTGCAATCTTTCGTCTGATGCATTATATAGCTTTTAAAACTGTTGTTGTTGGAACATAAAATAATTCCCAAGGTTATGTTATTGGGGAGATTTAAAATGATATTTTTTTTCATTCACCAGATAAGTGGTTGAAGATTAACAATCACTTTGCTATACTTTATTGAGAAAAATCAAATTGTATTTGCATTTATCTAATAGTTATTGTACTATTGGAACTATAATTTGAAAATAATCACTTTCACCTGATCAACTAGAGTCTTGTTTGCTGTTGGGAGAAGATCCATTAAAGGTAGTTCTTGTCTTATGACCACAATTGAGCCCAAAATTTATGTTGCTAAGTGAGAAATTTGTTAAGTGAGTTTTGCCCCATTTTACGACTTTTCTTGCCACTTTTGTTAAGCGAATCACTGCAGTTGTTAAATTAGTAACACGATTGTTAAGTGAATCTGGCATTCCCCATTGACTTTGCATGTCAGAAGGTTGCAAAAAATGATCACATGACCCCACAATGCAACCGTTGTAAATATGAACCAATTATCAAACATCCGAATGTAAATCACATGATCATGGGGATGCTACAAAAGTCGTTAACTGTGAAAAATGGTCATAAGTCACATTTTTAGTGCCATTGTAATTCGAACGGTCACTAAAGGAACTGTTGTAAGTCAAGGACTATCTGTAATAATTCAAGCTATTCTGTAACAAACTTGAAAACAGGACAATGTGGAGAACAATTCAGAAAAAGCTGATAGATACTTTGTTCAAAGATCTTTTTCTTCAATGCAAGGGATTCTAAGAGAAAGAAGCCCTTTTTTTCACTACAGGTTAAAGAATCATTGTGAGAGGAATAAATTAGTTATAATACAGCCTCCCTGTGCTGCAGATAGACTAAGGGATAGAATGAGCTGTGGAAAAGAGTTCAGAAAATACCAGAATCTAAGATGGTGACAGATGGCAGTTTTAGTGTCCTTTCAAAAATCTGCCAGATCTTTTTGGCAATTGATAAAAGCAATCAAGGAAATATGGGTATGTGTATATTCAAAAGGAAGTGATGACTTCCAGGTCTCTTTATTTGCAATTAGCCAAATTTCTTAAGTCCTTTTTCAAAAGAAAAAAAAAGGTTGAAAATGATTGCTTGTCCATAGTACAGTGTTTCTCAACCTTGACAATTTTAAGGCATGTGGACTTCAATTCTCAGAATTCCACAGCCAGCAATGCTGGCTGTGGAATTCTGGGAGTTAAAGTCCACGTGCCTTAAAATTGTCAAGGTTGAGAAACATTGCCATAGTATGACTTAAAGCAGTGGTTCTCAACCTGTGGGTCGGGACCCCATTTGGGGTCGAACGACCATTTCACGGGGGTCGCCAAACAACGCAGTCCACCATTTTTTTCCCCTTTTCCTTAGGTGTGCTACTCCCTTTTATTCTATTGGCTTTTGAAAGCCAATAGAATAGACTCTCTTGAATAGAGTCTAATTCTATTGGCTTTCAAAAGCCAATAGGAATTGTCCAGGCTGTCTCTGCCCTGCTGGCCCGCCAAAAGTCCCATTCTGCAAATGGTGCTGCACCAGTTGAGTAGTCCTCGACTTACTACCGGTTGAGTAGTCCTTGACTTATGACCGGTTGGGAGTCGCGGCATTAAAAAGGTTGAGAACCACTGACTTAAAGAGACTTGGAAAAATAAGGCCTACTACTTCAGCAAGTATCCAGCAAGGAAATCAAGAGAAAACAGGCTACAGTGGTGAGAGATCCTAGATGCCAAAAGTGATGCTCCAGCAAGCATGTTTCAGATATTCGTTGGAACCAATTAGCCAAATCTTTCTTATGCAGTTGCCTAGAGCTGCTTATAATTTTTTCTTTTCTTGTTTTTTTCAAAATATGTGAGGGAGAAAAAGATGGACTCATTGCTGTGTCTTTCAATAGTAAAGGGCAATCTCTATCTGGAAGCTTGGCTCCTATGTCTGATCAGGAATGACTATGCAGTTGTTAGTTAACTTGATAGTAAAAGTGAAACTGAGCCTGGTACAGAATCTAAAATCAGTGACTTAGCGTAATATGTTCCACTCAAGAACTGGGCTTAATGCCATAGAAAGTTTGTTGTCATAATATAGTAATCGAAAGGCAAGTACTAGATACTTGTGCTCTTTCTGTCATATTATCTTCTTTGGGTTTTGCACACTGATTTATTCAGACTTGGAGAAAATACCATTTCTACCAGACACTGAAAGAAAATATCTCAGCCTTCCTATTCTGCAACTTAGTTTAAATTCAGTCAAAGCAAGAACAAGGTAAGAGTACTGAGTACTGAATTTATTTGCCAAGGGGGTTGAAATCCACACATCGGTTTGAGGTCAACCTGTACATTTTTGACAAGTTGACTAGAATTCTAATTATTTAACATTTATTCAGTCCACGTGTGCTTTTTTGATGAATGGAAAATGTTATTTTTTAATTCACATTTCTAAAACGTTTCTTAAAAAAATGTAAATATGCATTTAATGATACGTAGACAATATTTTCATAACAATAGTGTATGGAGGTCCCCATATGTTTAGATATTGCTTTAATTTTGTTCTTTTGTTTATGGATCATTGCATGAGAGTATTTGGCTCCCTTTTGTTCTTGTTAATACACTGGTGCCATCTGCTGGATTCGGATTTATGGAGATGCCCTGAAGTCAATCACTGATAGCCAGCTCGCATATATAAACAGTGCTTAGATTGAATTTTATTCCGAGGCTGTAATCCTTGAAGCATTTATCTGAACGTAGTCTGCTGATCACATGATATTGTTTCTTCTAGTTAGATAATTAGAGCTTATGTTGGATGAGACAGAGGAAGAGCAATATTCCTCTTAAAGAAAAAATCTGAGTTGCATATCATCAGAGTACAGTTAGTGCTCGGCTTACAACCACAATTGAGCCCAACATTTCTGTTATTAAGTGAGACGTTTGTTAAGTGAGTTTTGCCCCATTTTACAACCTTTCTTTCCATAGTTGGTAAGTGAATCACTGCAGTTGGAAAGCTAGTATATATATAAACCAGTTGCCAAGCATCTGAATTTTGATCACATGATCATGGGGATGCTACAAAGGTCTTATGTGAAAAATGGTCATAAGTCACCTTTTTTTAGTACCATTGTAATTTGAATGGTCACTAAACGAATTGTTGTAAGTCGAGGACTATCTTTATATGGCTATTTCAGAATTGGTCCATCAGAAATGGGCTGCATCAATCCAGACAAGGGCAGTAAAGAGATACAAACATCTTAACACTCTGCTGACAGATGGTAGTGATATGGATTTTGGCAGTATAAATATGGCTATATTTCAGAACTATGAAATGATACAGGACATTTTGTAATATCCCCAAAAGTAAGGAATGATGGAATTGTTTAACATCCTTGCCTTATATCAGTGGTGGCGAACCTATGGCAGGCGTGCCAAAGGTGGCACTCGGAGCCCTCTCTGTGGGCACACGTGCCGTTGCTCCAGCTTGCCTCCCCCCACGACCCCCTCACCAGCAGCCCCTCTGGAGGAGAGTCGCCCCCAAGCGTGGCCCATGTGGAGCAGCGCAGCCAAGGACATGGCAGCCAGGCAGTGTAGATAAGACTCTGCCCTCACACTCCATCACGCAGCTGATGCTGCGGAGTGCGGGCAGAGGGTGTAGCTGCCATGGCGCTGCTGGGCTGCCTGGGTGATCTGTGGCGAGCCCTGGAGGTGGTGAGTGGCCCTGCAGGCAGGCGGGGTGGGGGCAAGGCAGGGGGTGGAGTGGGGGTGGGGCCAGTTTTTGTGTACTCTGTCTCTAAAAGGTTCGCCATCACTGCCTTATATTATTTTTAGAATAATTAGAGGACAAATATGGTTATTATTCTGCTTCTGATTCAACTTTTCCATTTTCTTTGACTTTGACTACAATCAGGTAAATTTTACCTGCAAATATGATTTTCAGCACTGAAGTGTTGGACCAGCTGTGCAATATTACATTCTGTTATTAAAGCTTAGCTGTTTGAATTCTTGATACTGACTCTCATGTTTCTTTAAATTCGTCCTTTCCAATGTCTTTGTTCACAGGATTTTAAAAATCCAAATGAAGTGGAATAGAAAGCAAGGCTCTCAGTATAGTCAGAATACCATTTTCATCCTTGCTGACATGAGAAATTTCATAGAACAAAGAATTTTTAATATGCTGACTTTGTAAACCACTTAGAAAGTGCTCTAAAGCACCGTAAAATGGTATATATATCTACATACTATTGCTATTAACCATTGGTGAGATCTGAATTAAATATGCTGTAGTTATTGGGACAATTAAAATGCTGTATTAATTATTAACTACATTTTCATTATAGGTGTCAATTACTGCTGATGATAACTGCAAGTTCTTATGTTGGTCCAGAGAGAGACTTGTGTATTTTCTAGAATCAGAGCCATTTCTTTTTGAAATATTTAAATATCTTATTGGAAAGGATATTACAAACAAGTTATACTCATTAAATGATCCAACCCTAAGTGATAAGGTAAGTATTTCCCTTTTGACTTCCATGCATTATAGAACTGTTTTATAGATGAGCTAAGTTGTGCTCCCTTCTAAAACGCACAACATCCTTTCCCACACAGCTTCTTAAAACACAGTTGATTCAGGATGCCTATTTATAACTTTCTATTGAATGTGGTTTCTGTCAATTATCTTATATTAAATCTAAGAGAAGATAAATATGGCCACTGGATGATGGCAATTAAAAGTTTTCTGAGGGAACTAAATAACAACTACTAATAGTTGGAATGCTGAATTTTATGTAATTCTATTGTCATGCAGAACAGTGGCTCCCAACCTTTTGGGCACCAGGGATCGGTTCCATGGAGATAGGTTTTTCCACAGACCGGAGGGGGCGTGGTTTCGTGTGCTGCCTGCAGTACACGGATGGGGCTTCACTTGTTTGGGCAGACCAGTTTCTGGCATGCCACGGAACGGTGCAGGTCTGTGGCCCTGGAGTTGGGAACCCCTGATGCAGAACAACACTTAACAGTTATATTTTTGATACTGTTTAATTATCAAGCATCATTTGATTTTGGAGATTTTATCAAGAACTCATCAAAACTCTGGAAGATTTTAAACTGTTTTGACATTTCACCTTTGTTCTGTGTTCATTAATACCTATATGGCCCTTTCCATCACAGGATATTTAGAGACACGGAAAACATACTTCTGCATGACATTGGAACTCACTTGTATAAATTGAATGGAATAAGTTTTACCATTTTTCCCCTTGGATAGCAGATTAGATATCCTAATGCAGCAATTCTCTTTTGAAAATAAAGGCTTTCTTCACTATCAAAGAATTTGCAACTGGATTTTAAAGCAATGCTTCAAAGGAAAGTTATAAAGAAACCACTTCTGCATAGCTGTGAAGAAAGCTACATGGACAGATCCATGAAGTCACATGTTCTTTACTTTTATAGCTCCATTGGGACAGATTTTTATACTTGATTGGGCCGTACAAAGTAACACAATGCCACAGTTAATCAAACTCTATGGCTCTCCACATGCAATTTGTCTCTTTCTAAACACACACTGTTATCATAAGTGTCTACTTGCTGTTATTAATCTTACTCCTGATTTATATGTGAAAAGAAGAGCATGAAATAGAGAGCAGCAGATTACCTAAAGCATAAAACAGACTGGCTAAATCTAAAATGTGTATTTTAAAGTCTTCTCCCTCCTATATGATTGTTTTTAAATACTATCCATCAGAATGATCCTGCCCCTTGATTTATCCTTGAACACTGTTTAAGTAGCTGCTTCTTTTCTCTTTTTTCTTCTTCCCGATAGTGACATGGTCGAACACTTGCTTATATATGTAAACAATCTAGGGGTCTGAGACTGATAAAGTGGTTATTTCTGTGCTGCACATCAAGAGATATGTGGATGAGTCCTTATTCTGTCACATCCGGCTTATAGGTCTTCCCCACTCTAGATGCCCTTGCTCTGGCCTATGAATCTGTGGCAAAACTGGAATTCTTCTATTGAAAATCTTCTGTCCTACTGAGTCTGTTTCCAATAATGTAATATCTTAGCTCTGGGGAATTATATAGCATCAATATCTAGAATTCTTCTATTGAAAATCTTCTGTCCTACTGAGTCTGTTTCCAATAATGTAATATCTTAGCTCTGGGGAATTATATAGCATCAATATCTGTCTTTCTAGTTTTTGCTGAGCATGACCAATAGTGAGGGAAGCTGTCAGTATAGCGGGAGACGCCAGGTTTCTACCCTGTTATATGTAAATTGCCACATAGTTCTTATTTTTTTCTCATAATTTAGTTGTCCAAGTTATAATTAGACATTCTTTCATTCCATTCTACTTCTCGTGGGGTTGTTGTGATGGTAACTGAGAAAACGTGCTCTGTGCAACTTAGAAGAAGTGATGGCAGGATATAAACATAAGAGATAAATATTTATTAGCATTTAGGACTAATGGAGAATTGTGTATTTTTTTTTTCTGTGCAGACATCCCAAAAAATAGATCGCCAGCCCAGTCTGTGTTCCCAGCTGTCTGTGATGCAAATGAGGAATAGCATGGCAAGTTCAAGTGATGGTGAAGATGGATTACAACAGTTTCTCCGTGGAACTTCTACTGCATCCACCCTTCGTGAGTCATTAACTAGTCAGTCAACATTTCTAGGCATCACTAAACATTGTAGTCAGTGGCCAAAATCATGTTGCTTTTGGCGAGAAGAGTTGGGAAGGGGAAAAGGGAATCATAAAACAAGGTGCATCTGAATGCATCACTGTAACTGCTTATATTAGGGCCAGTATATGCATTCCTATCACTCAATGGTGACAATCAAAGAGTTCCTTTTCCATGTCTGACTAATTATCATAAACCAAACATTACAGACCGATTTTTCATTTGAATGTTTCTTCATATATATTTCTTAATGTGGGGTGGATGTATCCCCTTTCTGCTGTGAAAAGTTCAGAGAAACCATCCTGTTCATGGTAAGAGAGCATGAACATACTAACAGGTTATTTGGACATTTTTATTTAAAAAAAACTACAGCAGGTGTATTTTGCACTAGTATAGGTCTAAGAGTTTGGATATCTGCTAAACATTGTGACCTGCCTACAAAGCAAGAATTTGCTCTCTGCATTTATTTTTGAAAATATGAATTTTGGTATCTCATAGATTTTATGGAAATTAAACCTCATCTAATATTCTCATTGTAAATCAGTGGTGCATAATCTTAGGCCTTGGGATAGTGTGAGACTGAAACACCTTTAACTACCACTCTCTGGCAAAGCCTTGGAGGTAGCTCATAGAAATCTCCAAATTTGTTACCAAATTTTAATTTTTAATGTGAGAGAAGAGGGGAGACTAAAGATGTAATTGGGGAACTCTACTCAATTTTAATTAAATGTAAAAGCCAATGAATTAAAATGAGAATCTACATAGGTTTTTTTTTTGGAGTGCAGTGCCCAGAAAATCCCTGAAAAGCTAGGATGGTCTGTGACCAGAAAAAAGGTGGGCTTCTCCCTTATAGAAATTAGGCCCCCTTTTTCTTTCTAACCAATCGTGATGTCTTAAATTGCAAAAAAAAAAAAAAAGTTATTATGTACGATATGATCTTATGCATTTTTACAGAAGTTGATCTCTTTATTTTGTGCACTAAGGAACTAATTCCATACTAAGAATATATAGGACTAAAACTACTATTAATAAAAGCATGTGTGTATTTAATATTTATTGATATAAATCTGACTCTTGTGTTTTTAAAAATAAACCAACAAGGATTCCCTTATGGAATGAATCCTTATGGACTGAATTTAAAGTATGTTTTTGGTCAACAGCATGAGGAATTCATCAACATTTTCAAAAATGGTATGAAATGCACTGAATGTCACATACTTGAGTGAAATAATAGTTTGGGTTCTGCAGAATTAAAGACTGTATCAGCATACAAAAGCTGTATCCATCCTTCCAAGGTTAGTAAAAGAAGGGCCCAGATTGTTGGGGGCAATATACTGACTCTGTAAACAGCTTAGAGAGGGCTGTAAAGCACTGTGAAGCGGTATGTAAGTAAGTGTTGTTGCTAAGTACTATGTAAACCTGTATTCAATTGTAGAAATTCATAGAACAATTTATGCCGATTCCATACATGGTTTTAGAGCAGTGGTTCTCAACCTTTTTAATGCCGCGACCCCCAACCGGTCGTAAGTCGAGGACTACTCAACCGGTCGTAGTCGAGGACTACTCAACTGGTGCAGCACCATTTGCAGAATGGGACTTTTGGCGGGCTCAGCAGGGCAGAGACAGCCTGGACAATTCCTATTGGCTTTTGAAAGCCAATAGAATCAGACTCTATTCAAGAGAGTCTATTCTATCGGCTTTCAAAAGCCAATAGAATAAAAGGGAGTAGCACAGCTAAGGAAAAGGGGGGGGGGGGAATGGCGGACTGCATTGTTTGGCGACCCCCGTGAAATGGTCGTTCGACCCCAAATGGGTCCCGACCCACAGGTTGAGAACCACTGTTTTAGAGTCACCATATCATGCTTATTTGCAATGTTAATTTTAGATTTGAAGGAATGATGTACCGGTAACTACTTATATTAACTGTAACTACATTACATTCCTTGAAAAAAAAACCACTAGCTTTTCCCCATCTTGGGGACTGCAATTCCTAAAATTTACAGGCAGGAAAATATTGGAGAAGTATCCTAGAATATGTTGTCCATGCCTTACCAGACCTTCTAAAATAGATCGTGTTTATTTCTGCTGCTGGTGCTTAAATTGTACTTCCAAGGTCCACAAATGTAACCCATGTGTGGCATGTAGCCCATTAGCACCCCTTTGGTGGTATCTGGTGTGCCACAGAGTGATTGATTCTTAAGCTTTTGAAACATTTTTCCAGTTTTGGAATTTTGAAGTATTTCAAGGGGGAAAAAATGAAGCTTCAGGGACCCATCTATTGCACTACAAACATGCTGAAGTTTAGAAGTGAAAGAATGCTTCAGTTATGGACACACTCATTGTCTCCTGCAGCTTGCCACATCTTTATGGTGCTTCCTGAACTCAAAACATGTATATTTTTCTGAGATCATATAACTACTCTATGTTAGGCCAAAAAAATAAGCAGATTCTTTAAGGAAGGACTCATAGGTGTGATGTGCACGCCCACTCCAAAACACCCTTTGAGCATAACCCTGAATTGCAGCACATTACATTCCTTGGGGGGGGGGGAACCTAGCTTCTCAAAAAATTGAGCTGACTTTCTTTGCTTTTTTGATACTTGACTTAAACTATTCTGTAATCTTCCATCTTCTGTTAAAAAAAAATCACATATCTTGTACACATACAGAGGTATGCAGGCACATATTAATAGAAGGACTTGCAATGTTGAAGGTTGTCAGGGTAATGCGAACTCTTGTGGTGATAAGAAAAAAATGAAGCTTGAAAATCTTAAAATAGAAAACTTTTAAAAAATTACAAGAAAAATTGACCCAGCTGATTTTTTGAATGAAGTCTTTGCATAGCATGCAAAACTTGGGTCAGTCCTCCTAAAGCTGGGCAGCCCTGCTCTAGTTGATGCCAGAAAGAAACAGAATACTGTATTTTATTTTGAGTGTTATGGAGGCATAGACGCCTGCCTTTATATACATATCTGCCAAACCATTCTTGTTACTTAGTGTATCCATGCCACAAGGCATATGTAGATAGGAATATCTATTTATTGTACTGTATTCATTGTGCGCTTCATGACCTACTCATAGGAGGGGAAGGTGAAACATCTTTTCCAGACTTGGTGCTTCAGAAAAGTATTAGCAAAGGATTATATCTGGCTAGCAAAGCAGGAAGCATCTTAATGAGGCTGACTCCAGTTTTTGCAGGAAGAGAGGAAGTGCATCATGTACAGACCTTCTTCATGCACAGCTATGCAGTTATCGGCATGTGAAGTTATCCCCACAGGGGAACGGTTGAACATTTCCTTCCATCAAACAGATACACTTTATGTAATTACTGTGAAGATGTGTTCCTTCTCAACCCTGTATGGCTCCAGGGTCAAAAATGCCCTGACATTGCATGCTCTTTGCAAGCCCTGTGGAAAGCATTTATATGCAGAAAGTCTAACACTGCAATCCTATATGCATTTACCTGAGCTGAACTCAGTTGAATTTACTTTTGAATAAATAGGCATAGGATTATGATGAGATAGTATTTTATCAAATATCCATTCATTCGTTCATTCATTCATTCATTCATTCATTCATTTGATTTTATAACCTGCGTTTCTACTAATATTGAATGTTTCCAGTAACTAGCATTTTTTTAAAAAAAAGTTAATAACAATTAACTGATTCTGAGCATGTATTGTGCAAGTAGTTGAAATGTAAATAAAAGTTAACTACTACATTTCCTATCTGTTTCTCTTGAATCTTTACTTCTTAAAAAAAAATGATCAGAAAGTACAGTATACCATTCAGTATACTAACTCAGGACAAGTTCTTATGCTATTTCACTGAATCTTGATATGTATTTGTAATAGTTACCAAATGCTGATCTGTGCAGAAAATGTTGAAAACAGTATTTTTCTTTTAAATACCAAGGGGAATGGAAGCTGGAATACTTGTTGCAGATTTGCCTTGTTATGTTTCTTTTTTATTTTATAAAATAAAAAATAAATGTAAACACATAACGTTCCCAAGCTAGCCCTGTGTCACATAGCAGAATTCCATTGTTTAAATTAAATCTTTTACTTCATGTACTTTAAATATAATATACATTTTATATTATAATATAAAAATAATTCAGAACATTGGTTTTTTCAACCTTTCTCAACTTGATGTCATGTTGGGTTGGAATACTAAGAGCTATAATTCCATTACATTTGGATTGACACTAGATTGTGGAAGTGTGGTCTACTCTGGAACTCAAGAAGAGCTGTTCAGAATGAATTGTAGGTGAAATTTTATGTTTTAATTTTCTTTTTCTATTTCTGGCATTTGATAGACTGTCTGACCCAAATCATTCAATTACTGCAGGATATTTTTAAAGATATTAGGAATATTTGGAATATCTCATTACTGTTATACTGTTTTAAGTATTGTATTGTTTTTAAATGATTGCCTTTTGAAAATGTTGGCAGGCCAACCATCTCCTTATTTAAGAACATCAGCCAAAATGAAACCAATTGAAGAAAGTGTGGAAGACGATGTCTTTGAAGGTCCATCTGCCACACCATTTAAAGGTCATGAATGACTTCACAGGACATTCATGCATTTGTTCAGAAGAATTGCAACTGTAGATGAGATTTTTCAAAATGATGGCGTTATTATTTGTGTTTTAATTTTATCCGCCTTTGACTTTATAGTATGTATGAGCAAACTTTTACTGATCACTCAAACTGTACTAACCTCCACCCCAAAGATCTTGTTTGTTTCAGTACATCTATAAGACTTGTTTGGGCCCTCTTTATGCTTGAATGAATGGAATATGAGGAACTATATGAGGAATGGAGGAATTATATATACATAGGGCATTTGTGCACACATCTGTCCTAAAGTAAATGACAGCCTTTACAGCAGTGGTTCTCAACCTTTCTAATGCCGTGACCCCATAATATAGTTCCCCATGTTGTGGTGACCCCCAACCACTTATACATCACCGGGTGCCAGGGGCGTGGCTAAAGAAAAGGGAGGAAAAATGGCAGACAGCCTTGTTTGGCGACCCCCGTGAAATGGTCGTTCGACCCCAAATGGGGTCCCGACCCACAGATTGAGAACCACTGCTTTACAGCATCTGGAGTGCCACATGTGTATTAGCCTAGGCACATAAGAACATTAACATTCAATTATATTGTAATGAATTACATGGATTATATGGAAAGTAGTCCCACTAAAAGATATCTTTATTTTAGCTTTTTAGGCAATCAGTAGGACATGATTCATAAAAAAACTTAGTGCATAGTATCCGATTTGCACAATATAGAAAATGAAGGTTTACTACAGTATTGACATGTATCTCCTGAATATCAAAATTCTGGCAGCAATAACTTACTTGTTAAATTGGCAAGGGAGAAGATGGTTTCTGGCATCCTTTTCTCTCTTGAATTGGAAAATGATTACTACTGTCAAGGACAAAAGTTCTAATTAGATATTGTGTAGTGTGCCACTCACATTCTGGCATATGTATAAGTTAACAGTTCTCATCTTTCCTTACTTTCTTTCGGTGTAAATAGGGTTGATTCCAGGCAGAAGTTTAAGTTATTAGTAACTTTAAAACAGTCGACACCTTTCAGTGTCATTTATTTATTGAATTTATTGGGGGATTGTTTTTATTATATTTATTTAGTGAAAATTTGACACTAACATCACAGAATTATAAACTAAACCTATCTTATATATAAATAAGCAAGCATGCTTCCTAAAAACAGAAACCATCCACGCCTACTGTTATTTTAAAGTTTATATTAATGTAGGACTATTGGCACCAAGGATAAACTGAATTATGTAGCATAAAAATAATAGAAATATTGAGATGGTCTCTTAATTCATCTAAAACATATTGAAGTAAATGGGCCATCTAGAAACACGAAATACAAATAAATAAAATAAATAAAGAAGTACTGTCATAAATGATAAACACTTCTATTCCCATTTTCTTAAAATTTACAATTTCATGCTTAATTTTTTCACTGAAGTTGGTGACAGAGAACAGTGTTTAATTTTATTGTAATTATAGCTGATTCAGAAAATAACTAGAAACAGTCATCTTGTACTGACAAGCATCTTATGGAAAAAGCTCTAAGGTAAAAGAAAATACATTTGTCATGACAGATGGCTCTAACATCAGCAATTATTTATGTGATAGCTATCTTTGAAGATCTTTGTATACTGCACAGTTTTTGAAAACTGAAGTTTAGTATTAAAAATCCAATGGTCAGTTTGTGACATGGAACAAGTTTATTTTTCTACGTATTTAATTCTTTTGATAAGAGACTGCCATAATTTATCGCGGATAGAATTATTATTATTATGGAAAAACTTTACAGTTATACAATTCAGACTTAGAAAGTACTAGACTGGATAAACCAAAGCAATTTTTAAAAACTGAATTTACTATGTGCCATTATAAGTCACTGTTATGTTGCATCATTTCTAATCAGCTTGAACTGAATTGACTATTTCAAACCTGGACATAGGAGAAAAAATTAATTAACTTTCTGGTACAAGAAAACTGTTAAAAGAAAAGCATGTGGTTTCAAAAGAAAGCATTTCTCTATATAAGCTTCTATTTTAACAGCCAAGCAATAGTTTTCATGGCCTGTATGAGTGATTCTTATGGTACTGTGGCTATATTTTTAACCATTTAGTGAAATATACCTTTGTGACTGTAATGGATTTTTCCAATGAATTCAGTCCAAGTTACATTCTTGACAGGTTTGCCATTAACATTACCAAATTATATCTTAACGTTAACTCCACAGATAATTGATTAGTCATAAGGTACCAACATAGCTCTTTTGCCTCTTTCCTTTTCAAATTTTGCTGGCTACATTTATGGATTTCTCTGCAACAATAAATAAAGTAATAAAGTTTTTCAATAAGCCTCATATTGGTATTTTATTATTGCAAAACTTTCATGTTTCCATTAACATGAATCTTAAAATCAGTCTTACTGTAACTGGATTCTAGTACATAGTCATAGAAATGATACTGCTGTTAGATACAAATGAATAAGATGATGAAAATTGTGGTCATCTTTCAGGGAAATATTTCTGTGACATAAGGTGACATTTTTCAAAAGATGGGACAAACTTGTTTAAGGGTAAGTTTAGAATTTAGGAAGAGCCCTTTTAGTGCAGATCAAAAGCTTGTCTATCCCTGATTCTATTTCAATCAGGTCCAATCAGTAGAAGTCTATAAACATAAGTTTGCAACAATTCTAGTAGTTACTGCTGGTGCTACCCTTTCCAAATTAATGTAAACTCTTTTCTAAAGTTGATGGCTGGCATTACTTTTTAGTAATGTCTGTGTTTTAACTATGGTTGTATTTCTACAGTATACGAAATCATTATTTGCTTAACCAAGGTTTGGGCTTATAGAAGATATTAAACCATAAAAGCTGGTTTATATATTACACTTTGGTTTAATCACAAAACACAAATGCAACCTCTGTCTTTCAGGTATTTCTTAGCTGAATTAGCTTACTTAGTTATAATCCATAAGAGGCATTCCAAATGACTTTCTCTCAGATCACATTTTCCCAGGCTTCATCCTAACCCAGAGGTGTCAAACTGGCAGCCCGCAGGCCAGATGTATCACACACAAGCCATGCCCACCCTGGCTCTGCAAAGGCAAAAAATGTCATGATACGTCACAATAGTCACGTGATGGCATTGAGTTTGACACTCGTGTCCTAACCAATCATTCATAGAAGAAACAGTGCTAGCAGCTTCCCTATGCCTCAAGTTTCCTTCAGACTGAATTCCTATGGTCTTCAGATCTTTCCCCCATACATGCTGGCAGTATTGTTGTTTTTCTCGTGGTACAACTTGTGCCAGCCCCTTAGAAAGTCCTTTCTAATGGTAAGTGAATTTTCAAACAATTGTTTTCTTTTCCAAAGTGAATTTTGTTATCTGCCCTATACCTATATAAATCAAGGCAACTTCTCCGAGCTTTATACTCTTCACAGACTATGAAGTTTCTCTTGTGTAAGCAACTGCTGTGTAGTTTTGTACAACACATATAACCATGGGTAACTTACCCATGGTTATTTTAAGTTTTCTTAATCCACATAGGATGCCCAATCACATGGGTTGGAGTCACACAAACACAGAATCACAAATCAGTCAACCACATTTGCCTTTAGCATAAATAATAAAACCAGTCTTCTAGTTTAATATTAGTTTAGTTACAGATTCCAAAAGGAATTGAAGTATCTACATTTCTTGGTGACAACAGTATCATTTGAGCTGTGTATGTTAATGGCTTCTTTTAAAAAAAGAATACCGAATGCCTGTGCGGGCCACAAATTGGCTGATTTTTAAGAGGTATTTGTTGAATGAAATCAAATCTTTATTTCTTGCAAATCTCTTCGTAACCATTTTCAACTTGTCCTAGTCTTTCTACTTACTGTGAACAGTTAGTAGTATTACCTAGCACAGGGGTGTCAAACTCAATTTCATTGAGGGCTGCATCAGCATTGCAGTTGCCCTTGGGGGGCCAGGTGGGTGTGGCCAGGGTGGGTGCAGCCTGTTGGGTGGGTATGGATGGAGTGGGTGTGGCCTACTGGGTGGGCATGGCCAGCTCTACATTGTTTGTGTCAAGGGTGCCTGTGGGGGCCTGGGCAGGAGTGGGACAGATCTGAGGGTCTCTGGCAGAAGGGGGTGGGACCAGGGCAAGTGCCAAGGCATGGTCCACTGGAGGAGCCTCACTGTTCCTCTCAGGCCATGCGAGGGGGGCTGGATGGTGGTGCGGGCTGGCCGGAGCCCTGGGCAGAAGAGGTCAAATGCCCAGCCTGGCCCTCAAGCACCCATGGCACCAAGCCCAGCCCCACTTCCCCAAGCGGGTGCCCAGCTGCATTTATCTCCTCCTCAAGGCTGCTGCTGCTGTGCTTGCTCTCCTTAGCCAGGTTGTTCATGATGGGTACCAGGGTAAAGTCAGAGGGAGACTGAATGTGTTTCAGCATAGATGGCCACCACAAAATTGTACATTGGCTCCCGGCCGGCCGGCCTGGGCCAGGGCCAAGGCAGTGGGGGCCATTCCCTCACTGTTTCCAGGATGGCTTCACGGGCCACATGAAACCACTTCACGGGCCTCATCCAGCCCCCGGGCCTTGTTTTGACATGTCTGACCTAGCAGATATGAGATGTGGAATGGAAGATATGAGATGGATGACATTGCCAGCACTAGCTTGGTAAAATCAGGGGCCACCTTGTTTTAACATATATAGCTAAAACATATTATAACAACTATACAGGTAGTCCTCGACTTACAACCACAATTGAGCCCCAAATTTCTATTGCTAAGCGAAACAGTTGTTAAGTGAGTTTTGCCCCATTTTATTACCATTCTTGCTGTAGTTATTAAGTGAATAACTGCAGTTGTTAAGTTAGTAACACAGTTACTAAGTGAATCTGCCTTCTCCATTGACTTTGCTTGTCAGAAGGTTGCAAAGGATGATCACATGACCCCCCTCCCCCCCCGGGACACTGCAACCATCATAAATACAGATCAGTTGCCAAGCATCGGAATTTTGATCACATGACCACAGGGATGCTGCAACAGTCATGTGAGAAACAGTCGTAAATCATCTTTTTCAGTGTCGTAATTTCAGTCACTAAACGAACTGCTGTAAGTCGAGGCCTACCTGTAGTTATTTTTATATGTTTGGTAATTTAATCCCCACAGCTCTTTTCTGGATTATCACAAAGCCCTGAAATACATAATTTATTAATATTATTTAGAAGAACCTTTGGAGCAAATATAGTTAGTGCATTTCCTCCCCTCTCTGGGTATCTTCAGATACATCTTTATTAAATCTTTCATTTTTAACAATTTTGTATCTTTTTGATTGGATGTTCTCATCATCATCCATGATCTTGTTCTCAGATCATCCAAGGCCATCCTTTTATTTTTTTTACTGAAGTCTGTAATGTAAGATCAGCACCTGAGCTCCACCCAGTCCTGTGTCTATGAGTAGACAAAGTGAAAATTACCGGATTAGGCAACCAGCATGCATTTATGATAGTTGCAGCATCCCAGGATCCTGGGATTGTTCTTTCCAACCTTCTTGGGGAGCTTCTGACAAGAAAAGTCAATTGGGAGGGGGGGGGGAAGCCAGATTTGCTTCATGACTTAATGATTCATTTAAGAACTATAGTGATTCGCTTAACAACCATGGTAGAAAAAGTCATAAAATGCGGCATGTCTCACTTAACTGTCTTTCTTACCAATGGAAATTTTGGGCTCAACCTTGGTTGAAAGTCAAGGACTATCTATATTGTTTTTCTGTCAGGCTGATGGGGAACTCAGTTACACTGACCACCAGGAAAAAGGCACTAGATGAGCTGTGTTATCTTGTTTGGGATGTGTCAGACATAGCTCAATATTGTTTTGTAGGGTTCAAACCTTCTACCAAGAATTGAACTTGTGGGCCTTTGCACTTTAGATGATTATATAGAATGCATTATCTATCCAGATCCTGTGAATTGCAGGAAGGATATATATAAACTCTAACAGAATGGTGTATGTACCATCTAACTTTCCTTAACCTCTCACAGCAGAGAGTCATAGATGCTACATTATTTAATGTCCTTATACATGAGGTTTTGCTAGACTTCCAAGCTCTCCTTTTAGGGTCTATGTGTGGGGGTTATTTCTCTACTTTTACACAGTGTATATCTTGTATGATGTTTTGCTTCTTTGATTTCTTCTGAAAAAAAAGAACCTTTGATAGAAAGCATTTCAGTTAAAAATGAATTAAATTAATAGGCATTTTTTTAAACATTCTTTTTTTTTGTTTCTTTAGCATTTATAACTAGAGCTTTGGAAGATGCCTCTAAGAACTGAAAGTGGTACATATAGTCCTAGAACTCAGGTTGTTCTGCAACTTGAGACAGGAGGACTTCACAGATGTATAAGAGGCCCTCCTAGCCCACCGGGCTTGTGATCATGTTGAGCTGAATGTCATCCGGTTGTAGTAATTGACTGCACTTTAGTTTCTAATACTACTCCTCCATTTCCCCCTTAGAGATTAATCATATACTTAGGCCACGTCTTGGTTTCCTGTTCAAAGCACTCTTGTGATATGAATTCCCCTTCATCCTCTTTCATAAAAGTGGATGCTGAATGGGCAGCTATGCATTGACTTAAGAGAAACTAAGATTAATCTAGTCATCTATGGCACAAAAGAGCTGTGTCAGGGTTGGCTGTCCATCCAGCTGTTCAACAAAAATGTACAAGAAATACGTGCATTTGTTTCTTTCAGAGCTGCAGAAATACCCACTGAATGACCCTTTGTAGCAGACAAAATATTTCTGGGTCACAGCATCTCATTATGTTTGCAAGATCATGAACAGCATGCCCATATTTATAACACATACATATATCCAAAGAAATATCTTCTAAATCTAATTGCTATCCAGATGGCCTGTTTTATAGAGCTGCATGTTTCAATCACGATTCAGAATTAAGTATTCACCTTACTACTTTATCCTCAGCATAATCATATTGTCTAAGAAATATTGAGTTCATTTACATATATCACTAAATCAAGATTTTCTAACCACTGTTTGTTGATGAAGCAAAAATCTGAGTCAAAGTGGCTATGTTCACACATCATACTAACCCCAAACCAAAAATTTGTTAATCAGGCCACTGAGAGCAGAAGCAGACCTCCGAAACAGAAGAGCTAACTCTCCAGAGGTTTTCAAAAAAGATTGGAGAACCATGTGTTTGGGATGTTATAAGGCAGCGGTTCTCAATCTGTGGGTCGTGACCCCTTTGGGGGTCGAACAACCCTTTCACAGGGGTTGCCTAAGACTATCGGAAAACACCTGTTTCTGATGGTCTTAGGAACCGAGACACCACTCCTCTATCCGTC